CCCCGGCCCCACAGTTCCTTACCCGCTGTACTATCTCCCCGGCCCCACAGTTCCCTACCCGCTGTACTATCTCCCCGGCCCCACAGTTCCCTACCCACTGTACTATTTCCCCGGCCCCACAGTTCCCTACCCGCTGTACTATCTCCCCGGCCCCACTTAAATGTTGAACAAATCCAAGGTGCTCCAGCAGTGCTGGCCTGAGAGACATTTCCTGGGGGAAGGGGTGGTAAGCGGAGATGATGAGCCCTGATGTGGTCTCTGGAGCAGCTGCCCTGCCGGTGCCTGGGGGAGGGGGAGGTTTCTCCTAGGATGAAGGTTTTTTTATTGGGATGTGGGAGGGACCTAGAATGAAGCCAGGTGCTCAGTGCTGACATATGTAATGGTGTGTGTGTGTGTGTGTGTGTGTGTGTGTGTGTGTGTGTGTGACAGAGTGAACTCAGCGACGGCATCGCGATGCTGGTGGCAGGCAATGACCGTGTGCAAGCAGTGATCACGCAGATGGAGGAGGTGTGCCAGACTATTGAGGTGAGCTGGGTGGGCGGGGAGGCTGCTGGGTTGGCTGATGGGTGGGTGACAACTAGTGGCACGTGCTTAGCTGAGCGACTTGCTTTCAAAAACAGAGCCCAATGGGGCTAGAGCGAGAGGACAGCAGGGAGGGCATTTGCCTTACACACGGCCGACGTGGATTCAATCCCCAGCATCTCAAAAAGTCCCCCAAGCCCACCAGGAGTAATTCCTGAATGCAGAACCAGGAGTAACTCCTGAGCATCACTGGGTATGGCCACAAAACAAACAAAATACATTAAAAAAAAAAACAACAGAGGCTAAGGGGCCAGAGAGTTAGTACAAAGAGTAGGGCTCTTGCCTTGCATGCAGCAGACTCTGTTTGATCCCTGGGACCCTAAGTGGTCCCCAGCTCAAGAGAAGTGATCCCTGACACAGAGCCAGGAATAATCCCTGAACACTACTGAAGGTGGCCTCAAAACCAAAATAAAAAAACACAGAGGCAGGCCAGAGAGATAGCACGGGGGTGAAGGCACTCGCCTTGCATGTGGTAAACTCCATTCAGCTCGTGGCACTGCCGAGAGTGACACCCCCTCCACCAAGCACAGAGATATGAGGGGCTCTCAGGAATTGTCCTGTATGACTTCCTCCCAATGAAGTGAATAACAAATGTAGGGGCCAGTCTAGAAGTGTTGGTGGGGAACCTGGGACCACACCTGCCCCAGCGCCAGGGGTCCAGCCCCTACATGGAGGTCTGTGATCTGCCATCTGAGTTAGCACCTCTGGGTTCGAATCCCAGCCCTGTCCTTCCCCAGCTGGTGTCTTTGGCCCTCTTGCTGAACTTCTCCAGCCTTCGGTTCTGATTTTTCCTCCATCAAATGGTTATGGTGAAATGACACACAGCGAGTTCACTGGACCTTTCGAGAACAAATTGTGATCACACAAGTGAAAACCAGGACTTGGTGGAGCTGCCTTAAAAAAGCATATTAGTGGGGCTGGAGCGATAGCACAGCGGGGAAGGCGTTTGCCTTGCTGCAGCTGACCTGGTTCGATTCCCAGCATCCCACATGGTCCCCTGCGCACCGCCAGGAGTAATTCCTGAGTGCAGAGCCAGGAGTAACCCCTGTGCATTGCCAGGTGTGACCCAAAAAGAAAAAAAAAAGCATGTTAGGATAAGATGGAGGGCAAAAGACTCACGTTCCTTCTCGCTCTCTGGACCGTTCTCTAAAGGGCTGTGGGCGGGGCCGCGAGGCCGGAAGGATGCTCACTTCGCAGAGCGGAGGCCTCACGCTCGCTCGCGCCTGGCTTGCAGGACAACAGCCGCCGGCAGAAGCAACTGCTCAACCAGAGGTTCGAGACCCTGTGCGCGGTGCTGGAGGAGCGGAAGGGGGAGCTGCTGCAGGCGCTGGCCCGCGAGCAGGAGGAGAAGCTGCAGCGCGTGCGCGGCCTCATCCGCCAGTACGGGGACCACCTGGAAGCGTCTTCCAAGCTGGTGGAGACGGCCATCCAGTCCATGGAGGAGCCGCAGATGGCGCTCTACCTCCAGGTGGGCCGGGGAGGCGGCCCCGCTGAGTGCCTCGTCTTTCGTTGGACGGAGACGGGCACCCCTCACCCGCACCCCGCAGGGCCGCGGTGGGCATCGGCCCCGGGAGTCCCCCGACTCATGCTCCCGCTTCTGTTTCCCACCCCCCACCCCTGCAGCAAGCGAAGGAGTTGATCAATAAGTGAGTAGGCAGCGCGGGGAGGGAACGGTGGGGACGGCGAGGGGCGGGGGCGCCCGGGGCCCAGGGAGGGGTGGCGGGGACCCCGGCAGTGCCCGACCCGCCCGCCGCGGCCGTCGCAGGGTCGGGGCGATGTCCAAGGTGGAGCTGGCGGGGCGGCCGGAGCCGGGCTACGAGAGCATGGAGCAGTTCAGCGTGGGCGTGGAGCACGTGGCCGAGATGCTGCGGACCATCGACTTCCAGCCCGGTGAGCGCGCGCGCGGGGCGCAGGGGTGGGGATGGGGGTGGGGGTGGGGGGCGTCGCCCGCGCCGGGGAGAAGCGGGGCTCACGGGCGCGTGCGGCGGCACAGGGGCCTTCGGAGACGACGACGACGACGACGCCGCTCTGGACGCGGAAGACGGCGGCGCGGGGCCCGAGGAAGAGCGGCTGGACGCGCCGGAAGGTGAGTCGGGGCTCGGCGGGCCGAGTCCCCGCGCCGTTCCCGCGCCCGACCCGCCCGTCTCTGCGGCGCCTCCCCGCCTCGCACCCCGCCGCGGCCCGGGAGCGCCCCCTCGGGTCGGCCGGGCAGGGGGTCCCACTGTCCCCGCGCCGTTCCCGCGCCAGGCCAGCCTCTGCGCGAGGCGAGCGCCTCCTGGCGCGCGTGGAGAAACGCTTTCTCCCCAGCGGCCCGGTTCCAGCGCGCTTTGGGGGAGCCCGGGTGGTGCCGGGGGCCCCAGGGAGAAGGGAGTGTTGGGGTTTCGGAGTTTCCCGGGCCCTTGGCAGGGCCGCCCACCGAAACTTTCTTTTCCCGACCACAGGGCTGCACTGAGCCGCGCCCTGTGAGGACCCCGCGCCCCCCCCCCCCCACCTCCCCCGGGCCGGGTGCTCTGCGCTGAGACCACGCGCCGCCCCAGCGGGGCTCAATAAAAGGCCGAACGCGACCCGAGCCGCTCCTTTCTCTGCGTTCCCGTCTCTGCCTCTGACCACCGGGGGGGGGGGGGGGGTCTGGGAGGGGGAGTGGAATGAATTACCGGCACGTCCCTGATGCCAGGGACAGAGCCCCAAGCCCCAAGGGAAACGGGCGGCGGGTGGACCTGGCTGCAGGCCACACCCCTAGCCCCCCCGCAGCCTCAGGCCCCCTCCCCTCCACGGTTCCCGCGCGTCCCCGCAACACCAGCCTCAAGGCTCTTCAGCACTTTTATTAAAAACCGCCGCTCGGCGTGTCCGGGGTGGCTGCGGGCCGCTCTTGCCCCGGGGGACTAGGGTCCGTCCTGCCCATCCAGCCCCGGGACGGGCGGCGGGGGCGGGGAGCGGGGGGCTCGAGGCTCGCGGGGGCCCGCAGCGCCGCCCGTCACTTGCCCACCGAGTCGAAGAGGATGCGGTTCTGCTCGGCGCGCTCCCGTTGGCTCTGCGTGCGCGCCAGCTCCAGCAGGGCCCGCAGCAGGTGGAAGGTGAGGTCGATGGACAGCGGAGGGTCGTCCCGTCGCGGCCGCTCGCCGGCCGCCCCCCAGCGGCGCGGGAAGCGCTCGGCCAGCAGCAGGAGGAGCGCGCGGGCCCCGCCGCCGGGGTTGCGAGCTCCCGGGGTCCAGCGCAGACTCGGGTCCCGGCCCCTCGCTGCCGCTGCCGCTGCCGCCGCCTCCGCCGGGCTCCACTGGCCGCTCCCGGGGCGCATCTGTGCCAGGAGCAGCAGCGTCGCCAGCAGCGCCGCGCGTCCCGACTGCCTCATGATGCCACCGGCCCTGGACACACAGAGGCAGCCGGGGTGAGGTGCGCCTCTCTCCTCCTGCCCGCGCACGTCCAGCGTCCCCACCGGGTCCTCGGGGGCTGCCGTCCACGCCCGCCACCCGCCGCCCGGTCCTGTTCCACCCTCTCCTCCCGCCTGCCGCGGACGGACTCGCTCCGAGCCACTCACAGTTGCGGGCCAGCGCCTGCTCTGGGCCCGACGGAGCTGCGGGCACCGTCCCTCTGGGCGGGCTGAGGGCGCCTCGGGGAGCACGGGGTCCCGGCCCGGTGCCAGCCTTATATAGCGCCAGGACAGCGCCGGCTGACGTCAGCCGCCACTTACACGGACTGTGGCAGTAGTGACGACCGCAGCTCCCAGCCCGCCCCAGGCTGAAACCCCGAGGGGCGCACCGGGGACCCTGGACCCAGCCTCAGAAGTTGACGTGGGCAAAAAGAGTGCTCTGGAAGCCAGAATCCTTCCAGCTGGCAAGTGCCCGGGTCCCTGGGGCTGTTCCCAGACAGGAGCAGTCCCAGAGGCCCCGGACTTATCTGGCACCCAAATGGGAGGCCGCCTGGGGTGCCCACCCTCCTCCCCACTTCTCCAAAGGGTCCGAGGCCTTGGGAAAGGCTGCAAGCTCAGACCCAGGCCCTTCTTTCAGCATCCCAGTTCCTTTTTTTTTCTTTGTGGGTCACACCCAGCGATGCTCAGGAATTACTCCTGGCAGTGCTTGGGGAACCATATGGGGTGCTGGGGATCGAACCTAGGTTGGCCACGTGCAAGGCGAACACCCTCCCCACTATGCTATTGCTCCAGCCCCCGCCTCGTTTCATTTCAGCCACAAGGGTGAGGGTGGGGGCTTCACAGAAACAGGGTCTCTGGTCCAGCAACTCAGAGACAGGATTTCAGGCACCGTAAGTGAGGGAGGGAGGGAGGAGCCCGGATCCTGGCAGGCTGCTGGTCCCAGTGCCTCTGCGTTCGCCCTAGAGTGGGCTTTCCCCCCTCCCCCGCCCCGAGAACCACTTCAGGAGCTGCTGTAATAACCAGGACACATCCCCAGGTGTATACACATTTATTGCTCTCAACAGAAGGCTGCAAGTTCAAGGTCAGGGCCCCCGGGCTTGGTCTGGAGGGCCCACTTTCTGGGTCAGAGATGGCACCCTGCCCCAGCCCACCCGAGGCTCTCATAAGGCACTGATTTCTTGAGGACTCGTGCATGAGGGGTCCCCCTCTCCCCCCAAGGCCCCATTCCACCACCCTGGTCTTTCCATATGAATGGGGGCGTGGGTTCGGGGGTGCTGTCTGTGCATGTCCACTAAGCACTGATTTCTGACGCAGCAGGTCACCTCCTGTCCTCATCTGTGCAAGGCTGGGCTGGGCGGTCTCTAGGTTTCTTTCTAGAAGCAGTAGTGTCCCAGCTGTTATCTGCCGGCTCTGATGTCCAGCCTCTGTGGAGCTGACCGTGTCTTTACTCACAGGTATGGAGGCTTAAAGGGGAGCTGAAACCATCGTCTGGATAAGGGCAGGGTCAGAGAAACCCGTGTGCTGACAAGGTGGGCTTGCTGGCATTTGTGGACATATGAATGTAAATGGATGCTGACACATTGTTCAACGAAGATTCACAGAGTGCTGACCCGTGGTGGGGTGGGAGGCCATTCTAAAGCTGCTCCAGCCAACCTGGGTTAAGCCCCAGCATCCCATATGGCCTCCCGAACCCCCTAGGAGTGATTCCTGAATGCAGAGCGAGGAGTAACCCCTGAGCAGATCCGGGTGTGGCCCAAACAAACACTAACCCCAAAGCAAAAATAAAGCTTCTAGAGTTCTGCAGGAGTTGTTACCTTCCCGGGCCATGTCTTACTGCTAACGTGCAAGTGAAGCCCAGGGAAACGGCTGTGCTGCCCGAAGGGGTCGGGATGCCCATCCCGGGGCCAGGCCGCCTCTCTGCTGTGGGGGACGATGGAGTCCAGCGGCCTAGAGCTGATGCGCCTTCCAGGAGAGGTAGGAGTTCCAGACCACAGCCACACACTGCACAACAGCCAACCTGCGGTGGACAGGGCCCCGTGAGGAGGAGGAAGGGAGAGCCCGGGGCACATGGCGAAGTGTGGCGGGAAGGGTGGGCTGGCCGCGGGGAGGCCCGGGTTCAAGCCCTTTCCTTCAGTGTCTGAGGGAGGACACGTGGCTGAGGCAGGACAGCTAGTGCTGGGTCCAGGGCCACCCCTGGCTCCGACTCCTGGGCCAGAGGCTCGGTCAAGCCCACAGCCCTCCGCCTGGGGAGCATCTCCTGGGCTCTGGTCTTAGAGTAGTTTTGGCTAAGGACGAGGTGGTTGTGCATTTTTTTTTTGGGTGTGGGGGGGACACACCTGACTCACGTTATCAGGGCTCACTCCTGGCAATAGGCAGTGCCAGGGATGGAACTGGGCACAACTGCATGCAGAGCGAGACCCTTCCCCGTCCTAAATCGGACGTCCAGTCTAAATCCTAAAGTGACTGATCCCGGTCTTGAACCTGTCCCTCCTATTTTCCCATCCATTGTTCTCCAGCATTTTTCTTCTAGAGCCTGGACTCGGCCCAGAGCTCACCAGGAAGACCCGCAGTGGTACTTGGGGAAGTGGGGGGGGGGGGGCAGGCATGGGTGCTGGGTGAAACTCGGAGTGGCCCACTGCATTCTCACCCGCAGCTTTATAGCTGCTTATTATTAGGGTAAAATTCAGTGCAGTAACCCGATGTCCCCCTGGCCCTGTCCGGAGAGGCCCCCGGGGAACGGAAGACCAGTGGGCAGACCAAGGGGGCTGGACGAAGTGCCCGCGGTCTCTGCTAAAATGACTCAAGGTTGAAATGCAAATCACCGTCTCCACCTGGGGGCCTGTGGCTGTTTCCTGAAAGGGGGTGGGGGTGGGGTGCTGCCATACCTGTACTGGAGTGGCACCAGGTAGAAGTTGGCCAACTGCACGGCAGGCCACAGCTGTGAGGAGGCAAAGAGAAAAGGGAAGGGTTGGGGGCTGCCTCCCTCCCTGCCCCCCCAGACTCACTGCCCTGACCTCTGCTGGCCAGAGCTGAAGTCAGGGAGCGCTTCCAGGTGTTGCCTCACTGGGAGTGGATGCGTGTGTCTGTGTTAGATCGGGAGCCCCTGCCCACTCCATCCCCAGACATCTGGGGACACTTACATAGTAGTTGGTGACGAGGGCATCAGGGTAATCCTGAAGGGACAAGGACAAGTGAGATGGCATGAGCAGCCCACACAGGCCCACGCCCACCGCCTCCTCCCCTCCTGCAGGGTGCGTCCACCTCACCCACCCCATGGCCGGGAGTCCACCTGCCCAGCCGCGACCTGCCACTCACCCGCTGCAGCTTGGCCCAGTTGGCCTGGGCTGACAGCCCATTGAGTGCTCCCACCAGGGGGAGGAAACAGCCCAGGAAGCAAGGGGCGAAGGCCCCCTGAGGAGGAAATGCAGAGGTCTGGGTGTCTGCACCAGCCCACCCGCCCGCCCTTGCCACCCCTCTTTGCCCCTCCCCCCCTCACCTGGTCCAGCAACATCTTCTTGAGTGCATCCACCTTGGTGGTGCCGGGGACGAGCCGGTCCAGAACCCGGTACCAGCCTCCAATCACGGGGCCCTGAAAGCAAACCCCGGGGAGCAGTGCCGGGCTGCATTCAAGGGGCCGGGGGGGGGGCTTCCAATCAGCCCCCTAAGGCAGCAGCTGGCATCTGGCGGGGAGGGGAGGCCCCACGGCGGAGCTTACCACGAAGCCGCAGCCCAGGGAGAACATGGTGAGGGTGCGAGTGGCCTGGTGCTCGCGCAGGCCTCGTCTCTCCACCAGCTGCTGCGAGACGGCGTCCCCCAGGCCCATGAGGGACCCTGTGTGGAGGGACACCGGGTTGCGGGGGGAGTCATCAGGAGGCTTGCCCCATCCTGCCGCTGCTAAGCCCCAGGGAAGGGGACCCCAGTGTGACCGTCACATGCAGGGGTGAACAGCCAAGAGAGAGGGAGAGAGGAAGGGTGAGGGTGCAGGAGGGAGAAGACGCGCTGGCAGGGCCCTGCTCGAGAAAACGCAGTGCCAGGCCAGACAAAACGCAGTGCCAGGCCAGACACGACGGCCGCTTCCGGCCCCCAGAATAGGCCCAGGAATCCGGCTCCCTCTCCTGGCCCGCCGCAAGGCCTGAGTCAGTGTCCGTCCTTGGGCGGGGGTCCAGCGAGCGGCGAACAGTGAAAATGAGTCTTGGTGGAAACACAATGCCCAGGGTGCAGGGGAGGCAGACAGTAGGTCGAGAGGCTCAGGCCCATGGGGAGATACTGGCAGCCTCTGAGCGATGCCACGTGAGCCCTGACGTCCCCACTGAGCGGGCATGGCTGTGCCCTCCTCTCCCTGTGCTGGGACTGAGCCCCTGGCAGGCGGCGGCTGAGCTGGAACCAGCTCTCTAGGCAGGTCCCGGCAGCAGGGTGGCCTGCTGGCCTCTAGCATGCGTCCACTCAGACGGCGGCTGCTATTGACCCTCTGACCCCCACCAGCCTGCCCATCGTGCTGGGTAATGAGAGTCCCCACCCAGCTCCGTGGCCACACGGTCCCTGTGCCCCCAATTACCCTGGCAAACAGCCTCCCCAGAGCAGAGCCCGTCTGTGACGTCTGTGCTGGTCTCACCCTCCCACCAGACCTGTGCCCCCACCCCCCCCTCAGCATTCTCATTGGGGGGACCTGGGTGGTGACTGTCCTCAGCTCCTGCCTCTCCCAGGGGTGGCTGTTCCTGTCCAAGCACCCCCAGGACCAGGCCCCAGTCTCAGAGCCTGTTCCCACCGCCCCCCCACCCCCAGTACAGCTGCCCCCAACCTGTGTTCAGAAAGCAAACTAAGGGGAGAACACGGTGTGGGCCCCCCCAACCCCAACAACGCGACTGCTCTGGGAAGGGGCAGAGCCCAGGCTGGCCGTTCACCTTGCGAGGGCAGCGGGCAGCAGGGGAAAGGGAGTCACAAGCGAACTGTGTTTCCACTCTTGCCAAGTCCCACAGCTAAAGGCAGAGCGGAAAGGGAAAAAGCAAAAGTCATTGACTTCCAGCCTGCAGCCTTCGGGGAAGCTGGGTTCCAGCCCCATCACCCCCCCCATCCCACCCCAGGAACACCGAGGGACACGAGCCTGGGGGGGCCTGCTGGCTCAATCCATTTAGAATTCTTTCATTTTTTTTTTTTTTTTTGCTTTTTGGTTCACACCCAGCAATGCTCAGGGGATACTCCTGGCTTTGCACTCAGGAATTACTCCTGGTGGTGCTTGGAGGACCATATGGGATGCTGGGGATTGAACCCGGGTCAGCTGTATGCAAGGCAAACGTCCTACCCGCTGTGCTGTCTCTCTGGCCCCCTCTTTTTTGTTTTTAGCTGACACCCGGTGGTGCTCAGGAGTTACTCCTGGCTCTGCACTAAGGGGTTACTCTTGGGGCTCAGGGCACCATCTGGGGTGCTGGGGATCCAACTTGGGTGGGCCATGTGGAAGGCAAACTCCCTCCTGACTGTACTATCGTTCCACCCCCCTGGTTCAATCCATTTCTAACAGGACAGTGCCTAGGGGTCTCTCCTTGGCCGCAGGTTAATGCCCCCCAGTCCCGGACCCACGGCAGGCTGGGTGTGCCAAGGCCTGGGTCAGTCAGAAAGTGATTCTGGTCTTGCAAGAGCGGCTGGACCCGGGCTCCTGAGAGGTGGGGACAGAGCTGGTGAGTGGGAACCTCCGAGAACCCCGTGCTCCCATCCAGGGCTTGTTCTGCAGGGCCCACAGAGGCCTGAGCTCCAGAGGAGCAGGGTGAGGGGCTGCGGGGCAGGGATGCCCCGATGCCAGGCCAGGCACGGAGCCCAGCGGCAGACGTTGGTTCGGATGTGACATCATGGTCCTGGGCATGTTCCAGTTCTCATGCCGTCACTCACCTCCAGATCCGGTGGGGGAGGAGGGACGCCTGGGCGCGAGCTCCCCCTGGGAACCCCTCCCCTCCCACCCCGCCAGTGGAAAAGCCCCAACTTCCACCACGCCCCCCTCTCCTAGGCATGGTGGGGGCTAAATGCCCGCTTCCCCCATCGCGTTCCTCTCTTGGCTCTTGGGCACGGACTCTCCGACACAAGAAAGGAAGGTGCTGGTAGAGAGAAGACAGAGAGCCAGGGAGGTGGGCTGGCGGGCAGGACCTTCCTGGTCTATGAGAGGCTGGGGGGCAGCCGGAGATGCAGGCACAGGGTCTCCTGCCTGGAAGCTCTGACAATTCAGCAGCTGCCTGGGTGAGGGGCTGGGGCTGGCAGTGCCCAGGGGTTCCCTAGGAGCCGGGAAGCAGGAACCTCTGGGGCTGAGCTGCCCAGCTTGGACCACTGCCCAGCTTGGACCTTCCTGCACACTGCCCAGAGGCAAAGCGGATGGTCTAGAGCTTGTCAGGGACCCATGTCCAGAGCAGTGCATGGAGTCTCAGGCCTCTTCAGGGCCACATGTGTCCCTGGTTTGAATGCCAGTTCTGTCTACCACCACGCAAGACCCCAGTGTCCTAGAAATATCCAGAGCTGGACTGGACAGTCTTTGCAGCTCCTGACCTCCTCCTGACACCTGGCACTGGCTGGAGAGAGTACAGTGGTACAGGGCTTTGCCTTGCACATGGCCAACCCAGGTTCAATCCCTTGCACTGGATATGGTACCCAGGGGTGATCCTTGAGTGCACAGCCAGGAGTAAGGCCTGAGCACAGTCAGCTATGTCCAAAACAAAACCAAAATAAACAAATAATTCTAACTCCAGCTTGGCTGCTCCCACAGCAGGCCCAGGCCAGCTTAGGTTGAGCCCTGGGTCCAAGCAGTGTGGAAAGGGCCTCAGGGAAGGGCAGGACCAGGCTGACTCTGCCTCACAGTACACACAGCGCAGAGGGCCGTGGCCTTAATTGCCCTGTGCCTACCTCGGTGTATCGGGCACTGCTCTTGAGCCTTTTTGGGAGGATTCACGGCCATTTGTGCAGTCAAGCCTTACTACTGAGATCCTGGCCACTGGCCGAAACCACCCCTGGCCCAGAGCAGGTACGGCGGAGAGGGCGTTTGCCTCGTATGTGACTGACCTAGGTTAGATCCCCAACACCCCATGTAGTCCTGCCAGGGGTGATCCCTGAGCTCTGCCAGGTATGGCCCCAAAGGAAAAAAAAGTAAAAACCAGAAATCTCCCTTCCTATGCCCTGAGTGATGGGCACTTCTGGGGGATCTTGGGTATGGCTGTATGGGTCGGAAGGAACATCTCCCCCCCCCCCCCCCCCACCCCAGTTCAATTCACTGTCTCTTTTTAATCTGCATTTTCATTCAACACTAGGATGGTGGAGGTCATGCCCAATTCAATCAGCCTAGTCAATGGCTGAATAAATAGTAGTACTCCTACATTAAAAAAACAAAACAAAATAAAACAAAGAAACACTGGGAGGTAAGTGGGGAAGGTCTGAGAAGAATAGACCTAGGGGTGCTTCCAGCTGGCTCAGACAAGCCACAGACACATCCCAGGGTGCTGTGCAGCTGTGCCCCATGGCCTGGCCAGCAGCTGCTGCCTTGGGTCGGGAAACACAAGGACTCCCCTCCTTGCCCGCTCTGGGGAGCAGGAGGGTGCCCTCATTTCTGGCGCAGGAGCCCAAGGGAATGTGAGGCCGGGCAGAGGGCCCAGCGTGTCAGTTCCCATCACAGACACACAGTCCAGCGTGAGTCATCGGCCAGGTGAGTCATGCTGCCTGACGGACACTCCGAGGACAGGACATGGGTGGCGGTGGGCGGGGGGTGGACGGGGTAAGTGACGGCTGTCTCCTGGCCAGACACCCAGAAGTTTCTAGTACTGAGGTGGGGTGATTCCAGAAACTGCATCCTCGCTCCGCCCCCGTTTTCTGCAGCTCCCCAAGCCCAATTTTCAAGTTTCCTCTCAGAAGCCCTGGTGTTCCTTAGAGGTCTGCTCCTTTCCTCCAAACATCCGAGCCCTCCCAGTCAACTCCTCCCCCAGAGACGGGCCTTTCTTGCCATCCATCCTCTCTTATGGCAAAGAGGGGCTTAGTGCAGGTAAGTCACTGGATCACCTCTGCCAGGGTGCTAGTCCGCCTCCAAGACTGGGGTAAAAGACAACCTTGTTTATTTGGATGTTGTTTTGGGGGTCACACCCAGCAGTGCTCAGGGCTTACTCCTGGCTCTGAGTTCAGGGATCTCCCCTGGAAGAGCTCGGGGACCCTACATAGTGCCAGGTACTGAATCAGGGTCAGCTGCATGCAAGGTAAGTGCCCTCACTGCCGTCCTATCACTCTGGCCCCTGAGGTGCTTGGTTTCTATAATGTCTGGGGAGATAGATAAACAGAGCTCATCAGACCAAGAAAATCAGAAGAGTAAGAGGAAAATGGCTCTCTTGGGGTGTGAGTTAGGGAGATGTATTCAAATCTAAGTTCTGACACATAATTTTTTTGCTTTGTTTTGGGGCCCCATCCCCGCAGCAATACTCAGGGGTTACTCCTGGCTCTTCACTCAGAAGTTACTCCTGACAAGCTGGGTGGATCCTATGGGATGCCAGGATCAAGCCTAGGTCAGCTGTGTGCAAGGCAAGTGCCCTACCTGTGTACTATTGCTCCAGGCCCCCAAGTACTATTTTGTTTTCATTTTGGGGTAACCACTGCTGGGGCTGGAGGTTGCTCTCTGAGGTGCTCAGGGATCCTGAGGTGCTGGGGGAGTGAACCTGGGCCTCAGGCATGTAACACGTGTGCTCTTTGAACTAACTCCCTGGCCACAGAAATATTGTCTTGACATAGTGTCATGTGTATATGCATGTCTTCGTCGTTCCTGGCCTGTTAAAGCTATATTTCACCATTTTAAAACTGAAGGCAAACAGGTAGAGAGTGCAGGAGGTAAGACACTTGCTTTACATGTGACAGCTTTGGCTGTGACCCTGGTTTGATCCCTGACACTACAAATGGTCCCCGGAGCACTGCCAAGGGTCGATCCTGAGCACTGATCCAGGGGTAGTCCCTGAGCACCACCCATCCCTACTGGTCACCCACAAAGAAAAATGTACTGAGGAACTAATCCTGAGCGGGTGGGGTGGGTGGGGTGGGGTGGGGGGCTACCGTGCTCTCAATTGCTCAGGCTTGAGCCAGGCCATGTGCAAAGTGTTTAATAGGTTGTTAGTTTCCAGGCTAACAGGTTGTTAGTTTCCAGGTCCAGGAACACGAGTTTATCTGGAACTGGTGGCACCTCTGCCCTTCGGGGGGGCCCCCCGGTACAGATCTCGGGGACCCTCCAAGAGGGCTGGACCGAAACAAAAACGGAGCGAGGGGCGGCAGGGCGCCCTCCTGCCCCCACAGGCCTCTCTGGTCACTCACCGGCCGTCAGCACCTGCGTTTTCCAAGGGTGAGCGGTCAGCGCCCGCTGGTACGCCCGCCAGAGCGCCATGCCTCCTGCCGAGCCGAGAGGAAAGGGGGTCACCCCCGCCGCCCCTTCCCGGGATGGGGCTTAACGCACACCACCGCCAGGCTGGCGGCCAGGCGTGCAAGAGACCCCGGCCCGTCCCCGCAGCCGCCCCGCACCGTGCTCCCGGGCAGCCTCGCGTCACCGTCGGGGCAGCCCGCCCCCCAGCCCCCTTGGCAGGGGTCCCCCTTTCCCACGGCTGCACGCAGGACGAAAAAAGGCACGTTTGCTCGGGCCTTTCTTCATCCAGAGCCTGGCCGTGGCCCCGCTTTGGACTCCGCCTGGAGCCGCCTGCATCCTCCCTGCGTGCGGACTCCGCTGGGAGCCGCCAGCATCCTCCAGCGTGCAGCTCCTCCGGGTACCCGGCACCGCAACTCCCGGCCCGCCACTCACCTGCGCACGAGCGCAGCCCCCACGCCGGGCCGACTTCCGGCGCAAGTCCCGCCCCTTCCGCCTGTGGCCGCCTCCCGCCCTCCCCTGGGGGGGCCGCCTGCCAGGCCCCCCTCGCTGCGCCCCCCGCCTGGAGCTGGCCAGGGTCCTGATTCCCTGGGCTGTCTCAGCAGCTTGGACGCTAAGCCGGAGCGAATAAACCTAGTGAAGTGCGTGTGGCTGTTTTATTTAAAAACTAGTGTGATGTGTGCTGAAAGAAGACTTGAGGACCAGACATGATGGCCTTTCAGTATCGTTACTGCAAACCATAAGGCCCCAAAGCAGAGAGTAAGACGGGAAGGGGATGGGTGTTGGATCATTGTATGACTGAAACCTAATCATGAAAGCTGTGTAACTGTATCTCCCAGCAATTCCATTAAAAACAACAAACTAGTGTCAGCTTCGCCAGTCTCAAAGGTGGAACTGGCTTTTGTGCATGTTTGATGGCATCAGAGCAACTAGTCAGCCACAGCAGCTTTGGAATTGAGTTTTTCTGGCCCCTGGAGGGGAGGACTGATTTTCAAACAGCTCCTCAGTTTTAGGGGAGATGTAAGAAAGGTGGGGGTGGGTGGAAGAAGAGCCATTAGAAATCCTTTATCTTTAGTTTGGATGGGCCAGAAAAATAGTACAGCGGGTAGGGTGCTTGCCTTGCATGCTGCTGACCCTGGTTCAGTTCCTGGCACCCAATATAGTACCTTGAACCCACCAGGAATGATCCCTTAACACAGCCAGGAGTGCCCCCCCCCCCCCCACACACACACACAATGTGTTTCAAAACCAATTGACTTGTTTTGGATGGAGGCCACACCTAGTAGTACTATGCAATTACTCCTGGTGGCGCTCAGGACCATCTAGGATGCCAGAGATCAAACTCTGACCCACAGCATGAAAGGCAAACGCCCAACCCACTGTACTTTGAACCCAATAGGTGACTTAATGCCTTTCCAGATCCAAACATTGTCAAATGCATTGAATATACTGTGACTGGCTATCTAAGTGGTGCAAACTCCTACTGTGGATCTGGCAGGCTGAGAGGGTACGGCTCTTTCAGGAGGAATTCACAGAGCGAGCTCTCTCCCAGCTCTGTCTGATTAGATCCAGCCCCTATTCACATAATTCCTGTATAATTCAGGTAGGGAAAAACCTATCACAGATAATGGAGAAACACAGCAAGGAAGCAACAGAATCTGATGTCATAACATTTAACTTAAGGTTCCCTAATACGAGATTTACATTAGTAACTGGAATAGACAGCCAAACGTAGGAGGTATCAAAGTTGTACTCTTTGACTGTTTAGGTCGAAATCCCAAACCATCACTTAGTAGTTATGTGACATTTTATATGCTGGAGAGAAGGGGTTGTTCCCTCGTCCAGTGCAGGGGCTGTTCCTGGCTCTGTGCTCTACAGTGATCCCTGGCAGTGTGTGGGCAACACACGTGGTGCTGGGAATTGAACCAGGATTGCAGCTGAAGTGGCCTCTTGCAAGGCCAAGTCCCTCACCTCCTATATTCTCAGCCTCGTTCAGAATCTTTTACTTGGTCAATTTTGGCAGAGGACCTCACTAGATTAATATATACCAAGTATATGAAATAGAACAACTGCTTTCTAGTTCTTGTTTTTTCTTCCTTCCCTGATGGGAACACAAAGGAGAAAGAGTAAGGTTGAGTGTGTGTGTGTGTGTGTGTGTGTGTGTGTGTGTGTGTCTGTATGTGTGTGGTTTTGGGGCCACACCTAGTGGTGCTCAGGGCTTAATCTTGGCTCTGCACTCAGGAATCACTCCTGGCGTACCTGGGGGACCATATAGAGTGCTGGGAATTGAACCCGAGTCGGCCAGGTGCAAGACAAGTACCCTACCCTCTGCACTATGGTTCCACTCCCTATTTTTGAGGTGCTGCGGATGGAGCCTCAGCCATGCAAGATCAGTTAGCTACTGCAGTGCTAGGCTTCCAACCCTCAATTCCTTTATTCATAAGGAGTTTCTGATGTTTGATCAATTCCATACTCTGAAGAGGCAGGAGGCGGTTGTTAGGTATTTGCCCAATCAGTCTAGAATGCCAGAGGGCAGAGTTCTAGGAAGGCCCCTCCCCCAGTCCAGATGGTTCTATCCATTCCAGGCTGTGGTCTGCCTGTTTCTCAGTGCCACATGTGTCTGCTTAGCAGGCTTCAGGGCTGCACCCTGAAGAAAACTCTAACAAGATCAGGCATTACAGTGCCTTCCTGGGCTGCTGGGAAACCCCTCCTACAGAGTGAAACAAAGTAGCTAACACGTTTAAGCCACAATGTGACAGTCCCCTGACACATCAAAAATCATGCACGCGTGTGTGAGAAGGTTAAGTAACTGAAGATGTTTAATCTACAGAAAACTTGGGAAACACATGATAGCTATTGTTAAATACTTAAAAAGGGCAATCACAAGAATGACTAGGTTTGCTAACAACACCCATGGTAAAATTATAGAGGTATACTCTGACTTGATACAAAGGAAGTTTCGAAACGTGACCGGCTAGAACTATTCAAGTAGGGTCAGCTGACCAGTGACCGCACAGTTTTGAGCAGGGGCAAGTAAGATCTGAGCCACTGATGGACTGCTAGGGTGTTTGTGGTGTCGCTCGGCTGAAGGCGCCGCTTCTGTCCAACGGATGACTGACCCCTCGCCACGGGCCTGTGTGGGGGTAACTATAAAAAGGAGGTCTGGGGAGGCCGGAACGGAACCGTGGATCCTGGGGTCAGGGCGCCTTCACGCGGATGCCGTTTCCAGTTCTCCAAACGCCCAGTCACGTGTGGTTGGGAACACCCATCCCTTTACTTCGCTTTGCTACTTCCAAGTGCTCAATATGAGCAATTCCGCTCCCAGGCCCGCGGCGGGAGCCTGGGAGGCTGAGGAGGGAGAGCCCTCCGCCTGCAGGAGGCTGTGATGACCCAGTCTGTGGGCGAGAGGGGTCTGCCGAGTCCTGGGGAGGCAGGGCTAACGGTCCAGGCTGGCAGCAGCACTGTCCGGGCGGGCCCTGCCTATGGCTCTGTTTCTCGGCCGACTTCATTCCGAGGTCCCGTGTGGGCCTGACTAGGGACTGGGCAGAAGGGGATGGCTGGCCGGGGAGAAGTCGGGCCCCTCGGTCGGGGAGGATGGCTGGAACATAGCACTGAAATGGGCTCGGCTCTCGAGCTGCATACGGTGGCCCAGCGGGGAGGTGAGTCCACGGACAAAATGGATTCGGACCAGCCCCGACTGCCCCCCCGACACCAGCCAGCCATAGGAATCCAGGTTTGGGCTGAAACGTACCTGTGGAGAGAAAACGAGAGAGGCTCACGGTTGGTGAACTAGGACGAGTCGGCGCTGCCAGGGGAGCAGCGAGACCCGGCAGGAGCGGACAGGGCCGGGGCGGGTGAGGGGCAGGAACGGACAACACACTCCAGAAAACGTTTTTAAGCCGCTTCTTAAACCTTTCCCACTCACAACGCCTTTTCGGCTGGAGAAATTGTTATGTGGTCCCGGGTACACAGGTGTACGAAACAGATATAGAGATCAAACACTGACTGATAATAAATCATCAAGACATTTTTATTTTCAAACCAATTCTTTTTTCTATTTTGGCAACCCCACACCTAGTTACACGACCCCAGAGGGGGTCACGGCCAGTTTAAGAAGCCAGGCTCGGGGATGAGGCCGCCTGGCCTGAGCAGCCCTGGGTGGGGGAGACGGCACTTACCTTGTGAACAGCCTCCAGCTGCAGCCTGTCCAGGCAGAGCTGCGAGTGCCCCTCTCCCTCCTGCATGCGCAGTATGGGCTCCCGGCGGAGCAGGTCGTGGAAGGAGCCCTGGGGAGGGGTCGCGAGAGAGGGGGAGCAGCCTCTTAACCTGGAATCTTTGTCTGGGAACGCCCGACGAGCTCTCCTGTACCATGTTTTCTAATGTCACACCCATTCTCCTGGCCCCAATTTACCAAGTCTGTATCCTGAAAGAGCAAGTAGTGATGGTTCACGGTTTCAGCGTAGGTTCGAGCCTTGGGAGGAGGGTTGGGGGCCCCGGCTGAGTTCGAGTGGTCTTCATCTTCATGCCTGTCCTGGTAAGGCATCAGGTCCGCTTTATAAACAGGCTGGAAAGGAGACCAGATGGTCAGACTCTACACCGCCAAAGACAAGACGCAGAGAGAGAACTGCCTTTTGGATGGGGGAAAGGCATGCGTTTAAACACATACTCAGGTACACAGGCTAGGAAGATTATGGAGATGCCAAGACTCTCAGGGATTAAAAACTAGGGCTGAGATACCTGAAACGAATTTCTACACTGCTACTAAATTACAATCCTAATCTGGGAGGCCACGTGGCTCAGGACCCAACAGCTGCCATTAGAGAGTCATATACGTACGAATCTTCGTTCCGCAGGTCGCTTGACATTTATTGGGTTCAGCGCCATATCAGGCAATATGGCTGCGATGAGTTCCCCAGAAATATCTCCTGCTGCAACTGTCCCCAGCCAGTCAGATCCGGAAAGACTCTAATAGGAAAAGATAGGTTTCCTTCATTCGTTCAGTCACTCACGTTCAGTCTGCGAGCTGGCAACAGTTACCAGCTCTTGTATGCATAAACCACAGCTGTAGAATCTCAGGACCAAAGACACACACACACACACACACACACACACACACACACAGAACTGTAGAGTCTTAGGATGACAGAGACACACTGACACACGTGTCCCTCATGATAGTGATCACACACCCATCTGTCCTTGTACTCAAAACAACCGCTTCTCCTTGACCAACCCCAGGAGGGAAGGGGAGTCGTTTCCGGGGAATGAGGGGAAGAGAGACTCACCCAGACGGTGCCTTTCCGAGGAGCAGTGAAGTAGGCCTTGAAGCCAAGGTAACCAGCGTCAATATAGTGAATCCCACAGAGTCCATACCTGTAAGAGAAAGAAAAGGTCAAATCCCCCTTTTCCGCAGGTTCTTCTCAGCTCCTGGACTCCGCACTACCTCAGTGACATGATCCTCCCTCCCCTCCCGACAGCAGCCTGGCACTCTATGCCCCCAGCCCGTGGGCCTGTGCCCAGGGCTCCTCGGCTCGCCATCCTGCCGTACGAGGCATAGCAGTTGTCCTGAGCCACGGTGACACCATTGTAGGGGAGCAGCCAGGCCAGCTCTGTACTCAAGAATCGCTTGATAGAGTTTATGGGTTCATAAGGTCGCCGAAGGTCCCAGAACTTGATTTTCCGGTCACTCCCCGCAGAGACTAGGAAGTGGCTGTGGAAAGATGGGAGGGCAAACATGGAACTGAAACGGGTCTGAGAGAGCCCCCGGCCCCAGACTTCCCGCCACAACGGTCCTGGCTATACCTGTTTGCTTTGCACCACTGAAGGGTGCGCACGGCCTGGTCGTGAGCGAGGATACACTGGAAGGGGTAGAGTTTCAAGGAGCCGTCGGACAGTCGGATCCGCTGCAGAGGCGAGTTAGTGGGAAGGTTCCAGAAAACCACCATGCCTGAGACAGGGACAGAATGTGTTGCTATTAAAAGCAGATTCTTTCCTCTGTGCTCTAGTCTCTTCCTCTGGGTTCCTGTCTTTGTCTTCCACCCTCGGGTCTGACCGCTGAGGATGGGAATAGGGATCCTGAGTAGCTCGGGAGAACATGCCTGCCATCATTTAAAGACTTAACCTGATATTGTAGCTCTAATTCTCATCAACAGGTAATCGCTGAGAGGAAGACTGAATGCACCCATCAGCCCCGACTCCACTAAATAAAAATGGATCCTTTGACAGTGTAAATTCTCCACCTGGGAAAACTATAGCCCAAAGGCAAAATACAGCCAATCCTCTTTTAGTAAAGTTGAAGAGCCCATAAGGCTTTTGGGCTCGGAACAAAAGCACAGTGGGTAGGGTATTTGCCTTGCATGCGCATGTGGCCAACCCAGATTCAAACTCCAATATCCCATATGCCAGGAATCCCTGAGTGCAGAGCCAGGAGTAAGCCCTGAGCATTGCTGGATATGGCCCCCAAACAAAATTTTAAAACTAATGACAGTTGGGGCTGGAGTGATAGCACAGCAGGTAGGGCATTTGCCTTGCACGCAGTCGACCCGGGTTCCATCCCCAGCATCCCATACGGTCCCCTGAGCACCACCAGCAGTAATTCCTGAGTGCAGAGCCAGGAGTAACCCCTGTGCATCATGGGGTGTGAACCCAAAAAGGAAAAAAAAAGCCTACTGACAGTGGGGTGGGGGCAGTGGGGGAAAGGCTGGCGAGGTTGTACAGCAGGGAAAGTGTTTGCTCTGCAGAGGCAACCTGAATTTGATCCCGAGCACTACCAGGGGTTATCCCTGAGCGAGTCAGAAAACAATTCTAGCGGCTTTTTTCTTCTTCCTACATTGCTTGAATATCTATCTCCCTGTCATGCCCAGATTCAAAACCAACCGACCGACCAACCCCCAAAGACAGTCACCCAGAGGCAAGCACACAGAAGTCCCGAGAGCACTGGCCCCCACGCTCGGCTCTGCTTCATTACCGTTATAGTATCCAGCCGCCAGGTGGTGATGGGGCCGGGTGGGCATCCAGGCCAGGCTCAGGCACTGCCCACACTCAGAGGGGTCGGTGGCTTGCATGGAGCCCACCTGGAGGGTGGCCACACACTGAACCTGCAGCGACAAGGAGGCAGGGTTAGGGGGACGACAGGCGACGGGGGGAGGGCTGGCCTCGCCGAGGCAGGCTCCTCACTCACCTTATAGATGGCGGGCTTCATGGCATCTGTGGGGAAGAGAACAGAGGACTGGGCTCCTGAGGAGGCGACGGCCAGGGGACTCTGCCCTTTCTCTGCACCCTGACTCTCGGCCCCCTCCAGATACCTGTCCCAGGAGTGGCGCCACCCCGTCCGGCCGCACCGACCCGCCACTGCTCTCTCTCTGCTCCCTGGACAGCCTTCCCCTTGCCTGCACGCTCCATAATTTTCTCTCCCTTCTGGGTAACACTCAGATCTGCACATTAACACGCACCAGTTCTACTTCCCGGTCCCACAAGCTCAACCTTCCTCTGCGCCCACCTGCTGGCCACGGTCCTTTGGGACCCCGCCCGCCTCCCCCCTCCCCGCTTTCTCCTCTCTCCCTCTCTCCAGTAGAGACTGTCTACATGCTTCTGTGTGGGCAAGAACGGGACCGGGGGTCCAGGGAGAGGGCCCCTCGGGCAGCGGGCGGGCGGGGGTGGGGGGAAGAGCGGAAAGAAGGGGCCCCGGGCCTGCAGCACACACTTTCAAGGACAAAGCGTGATGTCAGAGCGGGAGAATGGCTGAGTCGGTGGAGATGGGGCTCGGGAGAGTCTGGGGAGCTGGGCAGGCCCCGCCGCCCCCGCCCCCGGCTGCGCGTCTCACCTGGAGGCTGCAGAGCCAGCAGGGCCTCGGGGTGCGGGAGACTGAAGAGCAGCACCTTCCCGTCAGAGCAGGCCAGAGCCAGGAGGCCCAGACGGGGCAGTAGCGGAGCCTGGAGGATGAGACCAGAGCCGGGCTGGGCCCCGCCACCACGGGCCCCTCGGAAGCTTGAGAGGCGCGGGGCAAAGCCACGCTCCCATCACCCGTCCTCAGTTCACGGAACAGCCAGGAATCTGGGCCCTGGTTCTGGGGACACCCGAGATCAACGCGAGGTACCTTCCGAGGGGTGCTCGGGAGTTCCCAGGCCCCGCTGGGGCAGAACTTGAGGTCCCAGATGCAGCCGTTGTCACAAGCAATCCCATAGACGAAGTGGGCCCTGTTGCCAGCGCTGAGGAGAACGAGCACACGGGGGAGAATGGGCGAAGGGGGGCGAGACCCTGGGCGCCCCGTCCTCCACCCGCGCTGCCTCCTAACCCCGCCTCCTCCCTCGCCCGGCCAGTGTCCCAGCCCCACCTCACCAGCTCTCCTGCTGCAGGGTCCCCAGGCCCCAGAACTGAAGCAGCCCAGGGCCGGAATGGAGCTGGCTCAGAGGGTGCGTCTCATTCATGTCGGGGCTGGAGAAAAGGGCCACGTACTGCGAGGCGACGGCCCCCTCCGGCACCGGGCACCAGTCCAGCGCCCAGAGCGGGCCCCCCGTGAAGAAGGACAGATCCCAGCGCTCGGGGTGTGCTGTGATGGAGCTGAATCTGGAGGCGAGACAACCGTGGCATGAAGGAAGAACTCCGTGAAGGCAGAGAGGGCGGCAGCAGGGAAACGGACAAACGGGGGATTTCCTGGCCAGAGACGCTATCCACAGACGGAGATGCCCAGGCCAGGGACACTATCCACAGACGGAGATGCCCAGGCCAGGGACGATATCCACAGATGGGGCATATCCAGGCCAGGGACACTATCCACAGACGGAGATGCCCAGGCCAGGGATGCTACCCACAGACGGTGGGTGTCCAGGCCAGGGACACTATCCAGTCTGAGAGCCAAATGAGTTTCTGAGTCCTGACAAGACCTGGAGGAAGCTGAGCATGTGTAAGGCAGCTGTGCAGCCCACGTGAGAAGGCCGCAGACTGTGACCCCCAACTGTGTGACGTCTAGAGAAGGCGGGACGACAGAGAGGAACCAGGAAGGTGGGGGTGGGGAAGGAAGGAATGAAGCAGAGCGCAGAGCGTTTTCAGGGCAATGACGCCACTCCCTGTGACGCTCCAGTGGTGGACTCATGTCAGTGTATGTTTGTCTGGACTTACGGCACGTACACCACCAAGAGTGACCCCAAAGTAGACCATGGCCTTTGTGTGACAATGACGGGTTAATGCAGGTTCTGGGGTCGTGACTGCCGTGCAATGCCCGGGGTGCTGAGCGGTGGGGTGGGGGGAGGGTGTGCGTATCCGAGGGTTATGTGGGACATCCCTTTTCCTTCCCCTGGGGCCCAACTCTGCTGATCCTTACACTGCTCTAAACACACTGTAGCACTGTCCTCCTGTTCGATTTGCTGGAGCAGGCACCAGTAACGTCTCCATGGTGAGACTTGTTGTTACTGTTTTTGGCATATTCAATACGCCATGGGGAGCCTGCCAGGCTCTGCCATGCAGGCGGGATAGTCTCAATAGCTTGCCAGACTCTCCAAGAGGGATGGAGGAATCAAACCCGGGTCGGCCGCGTGGAAGGCAAATGCCCTACCCGCTGTGCTAATCGCTCCAGCCCTCTAAACACACTATTTAGAAAAAAGAAAAAGGTAACAAAGACAGAGGGGGAGCTCGGCCTGAGCTTGTCAGGAATGACCTAAGCAAGGGTCAGACCCTCAGGAGAGCCGGGGGGACACGATCCTCAGCCACATCGTGCCTCCTCCAGACCTGCAGAGCTGACAGGCTGTGCGTGCAGGAGCTGGCTGGGCTGTCTGGGCCCATCTCGTCACCATGCCCCTGACTCTGCTCTGACCCTCACGCTCCTTAGTGTCCTCTAGTCTGGGCCATGGGTCATGGGCACTGCAGACTGGAAGGCGCTCCCACCACAGGGATCTGTGCCGGGGAAGGACAAGGCTAATCTACCGTTCATTTTTCCTCTCTCTGCCTCCGCCAACCCCAAGGGAGGCAGCAGAGACGCGGCGTCACCTGTTTATCCGGTAGAGGGTGCCATCCTCAGGAAGCCCTTCGCGCTGGACAGAGAAGAGCGGCGACTTCTCCTCCTGGGGGAGGTAGGGGGCCGCCTCGCTGGGGAAGGGAAAGAAGAGCTTGGACCTGAGGCGGTTCACTCGGCCCGGGGCGCTGCCAGCCCGCCCTTCAGAGCCCGCTCTCGGACTTACAGTTCGGACAGTAAGTGCCACTTCCAGGCTAACGGGATCCATTCTGCAAACTCCCAGTAGGAATGCTTCTGCTCTCGGCTAGAGGAACAAGCAGCCTTCGTGAGGGCGAAATCTCGCGCAGTGCCACGCAGACACTCTCAGTGGCTAGGGGCGTGAGTTTCCATCTGTGCTGTCCAATACTCAAGACAACACTTCAGACGTGACCAGTGTAACGTGGATGTCAGCGTGGTCTTGTCATTTTATTCCTCCGACCACTCCCAAGCTGTGCTTCGAGAACCTTATTCAAGGCTCCAGCATGTAAAGCCAGCCCTTTGAACCCTCCCTCTGGCTCTCTTTAATTTTTTTTCTTAAATCTTTGTTTGTTTTGGGGTCACACCCAGTGATGACTCGAGTCGGCGCCAGTAACATCTCTATTCGTCCCAGTCCTGAGAGTTTAGCAGCCTCTCCTTACGGGCGCCTGCTCGAGTAAATCGATGAACAATGGGATGACAGTGATACAGTGATGCCCAGTGATGCTCGGGAGCACTCCTGTCTCTGCAGTCAGCACTCACTCCTGGGGGGTTGGGGAAGGACCATAAGGGCTTCAAGGCAGGTGCCTGACCCACTGTTCTCTCTCCAGTCCTCTTTAATTTTCATGAACTTAACCTGAGAGGGCACCTGTGGACAGCACCACTGCGGAGCTGTGCCGTGGAACAGTGCTCGGGAACAGCCTCACTGTCTGCCTTCCGGGTGCCTTCCTCCTTCCCGGGGCCACACTCATGGAGGGTTCATAGTGCCCCCCAGCCCCCGTTCACCCCAGGCCCTGTTCCCAGACTTACAGATCTTTGGTGAGATGGAGACATTTCCAAACTGGAGCCATGATGTGGTTCGGTAAGCCGTTGGGGGCCACGCCCCGGCAGTGCGGCTTCTGCTTCTGAGGGGCAGACGGGGAAGATTATTAGAAGCGGAACACACCTGCCAGGACACGGCCTTCTTAGCTTCCCACTTTTCTTCCTCCCTTTCTGTTTTTGGTCTTGGGGCCACAGCCGGTGGTACTTAGGGCTTACTCCTGGCTCTGTGCTCAAGGCTCACCCTGTGGTGCCAGGAATCAAGCCAGTGAGCACCTTTTCTCCTGTGCTATCTCTCTGGCCCTGCTGGGCTGTTCTTGGCTATGTCCCCTCTGGAAATCTTCAGCTAGAAAGTCTTCTATTTCAACCCTTACGATGACTTCTGTGCCTTTTGCTCCTGCATCGAAACTGAAAAGCCTGCTACCTGCTTCCTTGGCATCTTCCCTGATGCCACCAAGGCCTCTGACTCAGGGGGACTCCCTTCTGCTTCTTAAAACTCCTGACCTGTGGATGCTCCTTCTTCCTGTCGCCTAATATGCCTTCGCACGCCCTCTGTCCCCCAGAGCCCCTTTCTCATCTCAACACTCAACATATTCCTGATCATCTGCTCCCATGTCCTTAGTTTAGACGACCACTTACTCGGACAGCTCTGTAAATTGAGACTTGATCCAGTTTCAACTTCTCTACAAATCCTAAATTCTTACCAAGGCAATGATGAGCTGTGTTAGAGCCTTAGGCGAGAAGAAAAGTCATAGCGGTCCTGTCCTTACTTAAAATGTTGGAGGGATGTTGGGGGGCTGAAGCGATAATACAGTGGGTAAGGTCAGACTTGCATATGGCTGACAGATTCGATCCCTGGCATCCCATATGGCTCAAAAACACTGCCAAGAGTGATTCCTGAGCACAGTTGGGTGTGACCGAAAAACAACAAAGTAATAAACTTTTTTAAAAATGTGGACACTGTACTTGTGGGTTGAAACACAAAGGCTCTATACTCAGGGGCTGCTCCCAGCAGTGCTCAGGGGACCATGAGATGCCAGGGATTGTACCCAGGCCTTTACCGTGCAACTATGAACCTAAAAATTTAGGTATTTTTGTTCACAAAAGATTTGTTGTAATCACTTTAACTTTTTAAAATGTTACATACACCAAGGGGGCATGGTGCTGCCAGCAAGTCAACCTGTACCTGCGGGGTGAGTACATCAGCAGCCTGCCTGGTAGTGCCTTCAGGCTTCCTGATACCCCAAAATTACTGCTGTGCTTTTGGCGGGACCCCAACAACTTGGGACCAAGTTGACCGAGAAATTAAACAGCCAAAAGCTAGGTATGTGGGAGCCAGGCCCACAAACCACCTCTATTCAGCTACACCAGCTCATTTATTGGCCTTATTTCAGAGACCCATAAAAAAATCTCAAAAGAGGGGCTGGAGCAATAGCACAGCGGGTAGGGTGTTTGCCTTGCACGCGGCAGACCCAGGTTCGATTCCCAGCATCCCACATCCCATATGGTCCCCTGAGCACCGCCAGGGGTAATTGCTGAGCACAGAGCCAGGAGTAACCCCTGTGCATTGCCGGGTATGACCCAAAAATGAAAGAAAAATCTCAAAAGAGATCAAAAGGCACAATTAATCTCAGACCCGTGCATAGTGGAACAGACTGGGGTAAATTGGAGGGGAGTAGGTTAGCCTGGAGCCCACCCAAGCAGAGCCCCCAGCAGCCGCTTGCTTCCACAATCCAAAATCGCTACCATACCCCCAGCCTGACTCCACTGTCTCAGGACAAACCTCACCAAGATATAATCTGCTAAAAAGTCTGGTATGTGAGTTTTGTGATTGAAATCTCCATGCTTTTTCAGAGTGGGGGTGGGCTGCCTCCCCTCACTCCCCAATACTCTTGGAAGCACTGGCAGTCACCCCATGAACTAACTCCAGTGCCACCATGTAAGCTCCACTATCAACCTTGCTTCAGAGACTCATAAATAAATCTTGAAAGAAAAAAAAAAGCTGCATCAAAATATTTACCTTAAGAGGTAAAATAAGATAGAACGGGGTTAAGAAACAAGCCTTGCATGCAGCCAGTCTGGTGATACCCAGCACTGCGGTGTCCCCTGGGCTTCGCCTGTGTGGCTCTCGGGAGCCTTTACCCACAGCAAGGCAGGGCTATTTCTATTTTTTTTGGAAGGGAGGTTTGGAGCACAGATGGCAGTGCTCAGGAGTTACTCATAGCTCTGCACTCAAAAACTGATTGTGGCCATGATCAGAGGATCACATGGGGTGCCAAGGATTGAACCCAAATCGGTTGTGTGCCAGGCAAGCACCCTTCACTCTGCTATCTCTGCAACCTGTCGGTTTTCCTTCCTGTTTTCCTTCTGGGGGTTGCTCAGAGCTTATCCTGGCGGTGCTCCGTGAGCATGGGAGGCTGCAGACTGAACTGGAGGCGGCAGCATGCGGGGCAGCACCCACACCTCTGGCCGACCCCTCCAGCAGGGCTGGCTTCTGTCTGTTCCCTGACACAAGAACGAATGAGCCCGGGGCACACAGCCAGCTGGCCTGTCCCTCCCCCTGCCTCTCTTCACCGATACCGCGCGCACCAGGGCTGCCTGCCGACTCCCGCGTGGCCCTCATGGCCCTTCCGGCCCTCCCCCCACTCCCTTTCCTAACCCCTGGTTACCCCGGAGGAGGAGGCTCGTTGGGTGCTTCGGGACACCGTGGGCTCGGGGTCAGATGAGTTTTCGCTCGGCACCTCACTCTCCTCTTCGTCTTCAGCCTCCACCTGGAGGACGAAGTCCTCATCTTGCGTGGTGGTGGCCTCGTCTCCCCCAGCACAGGCTGCCTGCGGCCGGCCTCTCCTCCGCTTGGTGGGGCTGCTCACCGTGGGGTTCTCGGGACAGGTCACGGGAGCGGGCAGGGTGGTGGAGAGCTCTTCGGCCAGTTCCTGAAGATACAGAAGTGCCCTGTGGGATGGGCAGAGTCAGAGCCTCTCGGACACTCGCGGAGCCCGCGTCGGACACCTGCCGGCTCTAGCTCAGGGAGGCAGCGATGCATCCCCTCCCCTCTGGCAGATCGAGCGACAGACATCCGGGCAGGGAGACCACCTGGCCAAGGGGCGTCACATAACCCCTGAGGGAGGTCCTTGGATGCCAAGTCCAAAGCGCGTCCACTCTCCCAGCAGGGCAAAGGGAAAGGACAGAAGGACACACACCGAGCAGCGGAAACTGCTGGAGCCGGCGGGCACGGTGAGAGGCGGGAGCAGGGAGGAGGCCGGTGGGAAACCCCTCACCGACAGGGTGAGGAGGGGCCAGAGCAGCTGAGGCAGGAGCTGGAAGGTGGCTCGGGCGCCCCGGACCCAGGCCCCGCCCCGCTTACCCGCCGCCTCCATCTCCAGCTCTTCAGCACCTGCCCCCCCGCCCCCGGGCCTCCCCCGACCCCCTCCACCAAGCCGTGCCCGCAATCCTTACACTTGGGCAGCCCTTCGGCGGGGTCGTTCCCCAGCAGGGGTCTCGAAGTCCTCGGGGGGCCCCTTAGGAAGGGGAGACTCTGGGTGTTCCAGGTCTTTCGACAACTTCAGCAGGAGCATGTCTCCCTTGGCCTTCCGGGCGCGCTTCTTAGGCATGGGGGTGGGCAGAGGGCTGGGCTGTTCTAAGAGGCCAGGAACCAGCGGGGCCGATGGAGGGGGAGGCTGCTGGGACCTCTTGGGGCCTCTCCGTGGCCTGCCACCTCGCTTCCGGCCAGGCTTGGAGGCCCTGGGCTTGGAGACCTGTGCCATCTCTGAAGGCAGATCTGCAGGGAAGAACATGGGTCTGTGAGAGGGGACGGGCACTCAAACCCCTTCAGCACAGGTGACGCCGTGCCACGTCCGTCAGCATCTCAGCCTGCTTGCATCCTTCTCAGCACAGGGAGGCGTTGGGAGTATAGCTCTAAACATTTCAGGATAACATTCCCATGTCCTTTCTCCCTTGCCACAGGGGGCTGAGGTTTAAGCCCTTTGGAGTCACTCCCATGCCCTGGTTTATCTGTATCCTCTTCTCAGTGCTCTCCTCCCCAACCAGTTAATCACTCTTTTCCCCTAATCAGATTCTGTTAACTTGTAAAGTTATATCCTTCTAAGGACACTGAACTTGAATATTGCTTTTGCATAGTTTACTTTAAGCAATGTCCCTTTTGTATGGACACAGGAAGGCAGTTAATATTATGTCTTTGTAACTTGGGCGTTAACTGACTCCGAATAATATTCACTCCTTCTCATCTGCTTTCTCGACTTAAGCCTCAGTTGCCCTTAGTTGCCCAGCACCCCAAAAGCAGGGTCCCGACGAGGGACTGAATGGACTCAGGGCAAGCGGTGAGCTACCCTGGCATCATAATGGGCCAGGCCAAAGCACCGCAATACTCAGCTATAAGCATGGTCCTGGACAAACTGTCATGACCCAACAGAGGTAACTGCTGGGGTTAGGAAGAGTAACCTGGCCTGGGGACTTTGGTCTGGAATATATAGTGACATGTCCTCAGGAAGAACCAAACTTTAAGCTTGATATATCTCTTACTGTGCTCATACAAAATGACACTGCTAGAAATGTCTTAAGTAAATTTACTAAAACTACTTAAGCGGATTACTAGCTGGGGAAAGAAGAAAGCGACATACACTGAATGGAATCCCTCACCTCTCTTTGTTGACTTGTTAATGTCCAATCCCACCTTTGTATCCCCACCCTACGTGATTTCCATATAAACTAGGCTGTCAGGGTGGGCTGGGGGGATCCAGAGAGAAACAGGAGGCGAATCAGAGGAGGATGGAGAGGAGATCGGAATAAACGGCAACTGTTACCGACCAGCCTGGCCCTGGTTCCTTCCTTCGCCTGCCCATCGCCATCGGCCTCCCGGGGTGGGGGAAGCAGAGACCACCGAACACGGGCGGTGAGAGAGAGACAGAGCGACGCGGCCCTTCAGGATATAACAGGGAGGCAGGAGGACAAAAGGCTGCGGTACGTACCTGGCTCGTCCAGCCTGGAGAGGCCTTCCAGCTCTGGGGGGAGCCTCCGCTCCTCGAGAGAATCCTCAAATCCGGGCACAGGGGGAGCGAAAGACATCGCTATGGACGCCTCCGCATTGGTGCTTTCTGAAGGGGCCTCGACATCAAGCGGGCTGAGCGCCTCTGGTCCGGGAGAGTCTACCACAGTCACGGTCCCCACGGGGCCGGCCTCCCCCAGGGCAACATAGCCGACCCCGCAGGCATCCATCAGCACCCCCTAAAATGGCTGCCCCTGCATACAGAGACATACAGATGAGTAGCGGGCAAAGGCCGTTGGCAGCGGCTCGGAGGCTCCTGCTTTCCGGTCTTCGCTTCCCTGACTGTCAGCCGGGCCCAAAGCCTCAGCTCCCGGCCCGCTCGCTCCCTCGCCAGCACTGACTGCGCCGCGCCGACAGGGCAGGCCCTGTTCCAGGAACTGGTTAAGCGACAGCGAACACAGCCAAGGCGTCTCCCGGCACGGAATTTATATGCAAGTGCAACTGACAGCAAATAATAAAACTACTCATTTTTTATTCATGCGCCTCATCCGGGGGTGCTCAGGCTTCACTTCTGGCCAGCTCAGGGGACCTTGTGGGGTCCCTTGCTGGGGTTTGAATCCGAGTCAGCTGCGTCCAAGAAAACACCCTACTGGCTGTACTATCGTTCCAGGCCAGACCACACTTACTACAAGCCAAACACTATACTACTGCTGAGTTACAAATCCAGTCCCAATTTATTTAACTTAAAACTTAGAAAATTTCTCTTCTTGGGAAATTTTCTTGGGAAAATTCTCTTCTTCATAGCCCTCGAAAGAGCTACGCTTGGAATATCACATTTCACTCAAGTGAGAGAAGGAATCCAGAGTTCTGACCTCCGTTGATAATCAAGAATCAGGGACTGTCTTGTTTGTCAAGACATAGAAAATCAGATGGGAAAGAAAGGAAGAAAGAAAATCAGATGGGCTGGACCTCTAATGCGATTTAGAGACCACAGGTGGACTAGAGCTGTTATCGACTGGATTCCACGGAACGTCAAAAGGACGCGTGGCCGCCCACCTACGAGGGTCAGACTTGTCAAAACCCTGAACAAACAGTTTGACGCTCTTCATGTACATGGAGAAAGCAGATGCCATTGGGCTACACTAGCACGCGACAGGAACAAATGGAGACTGTTACTGGCGCTCACTTGAGCAAATAGAAGATCAACCGGATGACAAGCAATACAAGTGATACAGGGCTGGGCTAGAGCGATAGCACAGCGGGTAGGGCATTTGCGGCCGACCCGGGTTCGATTCCTCCATCCCTCTCAGAGAGTCCAGCAAGCTACCGAGAGCATCCTGCCCTCATGGCAGAGCCTGGGAAGCTCCCTGTGGCGTATTCGATATGCCAAAAACAGTAACAAGTCTCACAATGGACACATTACTGGTGCCCACTCGAGTAAACCGACGAACAACAGGACAGTGCGACAGGGCTACAGGGCTGCAGAGACAAGATGGAAGTGAAGCTCCTGCCTTGCTAAGTCAGGGGCCTGGTTCCATCCCTGGCCCCATGTATGTGTCCTGAGCCCTCCCAGGAGTGGAGCCTGAACAACTAAGCCAGGAGTAAATCCTAAGCACTGCTGGATGTGGCACAAAATCAAAAACCAGAGCTGATGCTCAGGGTTAGCCAGGCCCAAGGAAAGGGCTGTGTATGAGCTTTGCCTGCAGAAGGCCCAGGTTCAATCCCCACACGGAGAGGGGCAGAGGCCCCGAGCATTGCTAAAGATCCATCCTCCCACCCGCAGAGGAAGGAGAAAATAAGAAGAATCGATGCCTTTAAAGAAAAGGAAAACAGAACCAGAAAACACTTATTTAACAGAAGAAAATTTCCTGAAATAAAAATGGAATGCTTTTCCAAAATAAATGACCTGTCTGTGGACAGGGCTTGTGTGAGGATATCAAAACCAGTAACAAATCATCAAGACTAGAGTAAAAATATTAAAATCATCAGGAAAAAAACAGCAGATGAGGGAGTCTGCCTGGCACATGGTGGGCAATCGAGGCTCGCTCCCCAGCACCCCATCCGGTCCCCATCCGGTCCCCATCTGCACCAGGAACCATTCCTGAGCAGAGGGCCAGAAGGAAGCCCTGGGCATTGCTGGGGGTGGCCCCAAATTAAAAATATATATATATCAGTCTTAGAGCGGTCAGAAACACTTGATGGCAGAAAATAGAAAAAATCACTAAGAGCGGTGGGCCTCACAAGTGGCTCAGCATACAGAACGCCCCCCTTGCATGTGAGGCCCAGACTGTCAAAAATCTTCTGGAAACCACAATGCCACTCTCAATATCCATGCTTCTATGAACTAAAAACCTTAGGCACCCTTACTCTGAAGAAAATCCACTTGAAGACCTAAGTGACCTAATTTACTTAGCTGAAAGACAAGTCGAGATAAAGAACTTTCGAACAGAGCATCTATGGCATGAAAAGATTGCAATAAGCCTTATGCCAGAGATGGTCAACTGAGTTTAAGAAACCATGAAAACTTTTGAAAAGGTTTGGAAGCCAGAAAGTTGTTTTTAAGACCACACAATAAAAGATGGTTTTGTTTTGATTTGGGGGTCAGCAGTGCTTAGGGCTAACTCCTGGTTCTGTGCTCAGGGATTACTCCTGACTCTTGTGTTCAGGGATTACTTCTGGAAGGGCTTAGGGACCATATGCAGTGACAAGGATCACTGCACGCAAGACAAGTGCCTTAACTCCTGTACTATCTTCCCAGCCCCGTGAGAAAAGATTGAAAAAAGAGGCTGGAGCTGGAGCACAGTGACAGAAGGCATGCCTTAAAAGTGTGCCACCCTGGGGTCCTGGTAACCACAAACAAACACACACACACGTGATAAAAGGTGGTGTGTTTCATAACAAGCCAATTTTTTTTTTTTTTGCTCTTTGGGTCACACCCGGCGATGCACAGGAGTTACTCCTGGTTCATGCACTCAGGAATTACTCCTGGCGGTGGTCAGGAGACCCTATGGGATGCTGGGAATCGAACCTAGGTCGGCTGCGTGCAAGGCAAACACCCTACCTGCTGTGCTATTGCTCCAGCCCCATAACAAGCCAAATTTTTCATGCTCTTAAGACCTGTCTAAAACAAAGGAACACAGGGCCAGGTGACAATCGAAAGGTCTGGAGCACAAGGTCCAGAGTTCAATCGCTGGCATCACACGGCCTCCAGAGACCATCCAGGCCTTACTCAGGACTTCTGAAATGGCCCTAGCGGCTCCCAGCACTGCTATACCCAAGCACGATTTATCAGACATCCATAGTCATCTAAAACACAAATCTTAAAAATAAAAAAGAGAGGGACTTGTGTGATAGTACAGCAGGTAGGGCATTTGCCTTGCACGCAGCCAACCCAGGTTCAATCCCCGGCATCCCATTTGGTCCCCCAAGCACCGTCAGGAGTAACTCCTGAGTGCAGAGGCAAGTATCAGACCTGAACACTGCCATGTGTGGCCCAAAATCTAAACAAAACAAAAAGAAAGAAAACGGTAACTGCAGCATTTGCAAATCTGGCCAGAGGGAAATTTCGAGACCTAATGAATGAGAGAGTTTAGGAACAGGTATCTGTCAAACTGGGAAGACGTAGGACAGGTGCTGACTCCAGGACCCCACAGCTCTCCGATGCCAGAGCCACCTACTGAACTGAGAAGCCACAGTCTAGGTGAAGGGTCCCACAAGCCACCTCTGATCCGGAAGTGACGAGTCTAACCAGAAGACGGGCCTCTGCTCCCAGGTCCTGAACCAGCGGGGAGGGCTCACTCTCCCATGCCACTGATCACAGGGCACACATTGGGATCTTCTGTCTTCTCAATTTCCCTCAATGCCACTTCTAGACCAACAGCCTGTCTCCCCCCCATATAAGAATCTTGTTCCTCTGAGCCCAGGAGAGCTAAACCATAGCTACTGCACTATCACATCCTTCAAAATCGCTCAAACATCCCACTCTCATCACTGTAGCTACAGTGCCAGCGACCACCAGGGCCTCAATCAGGCTTAAGAAATCACTCTCCACTGATGAACCAAGTTCTCCCTTATCGGCCACATCCCATCTACCTGAGATTTTATGCTGTTAATATTATGAGCTTTATTTCTGTCATTTTGTCCCAATGGCCGGACCAGGATGCTGATACAGCAGGCAGGGTAGGGCCCTTTGACCCCCCCCCCCCCCCCCCCCGGCATCCCACACGGTCTCCTGAGCATGAATGATTCCCAAGCGCAGAGCCAGAAGCAACCCTGGGGCACTGCTGGGCATGGCCCAAAGACCAAAAGGGAAAAAAAAATTCTAGTGGGCAACACTGTCCACTGAAATGATGCAGGGTGTGGGATGGTACAGTAGTAGCTTCAGCAGCTAGAACTGGGGCTGCTTTCTACTGTTCACTTACAGTAGGTTCCGAGGGTGACAGCTGGCCAAATGTGTCTGTGAACTTCCGGCCTTGATGAACCCCCATCATCCAGCCTCCCCACGCAGGTGGCCTGGTGGTCCCCAGCACCGCAGAGCCTAAGCAGCACCAACTCTAGGACCTGGCCGGCCCAGTGTCCCCAAGAGTGATGCCCAGTCCTCCTGAGCACTACCGTTTTCTCAGGGATTTTGCCCAGCAGTAGAGCACTCATGTCACATGTATGAAGCTATCTCTTAACTAGCAAAAGAAAAAAAAAAGGTCTGAGCTTTTCCGCGGAGCCACACCTGTCCTCAACTTTGTTTAGTTGCCTTTGGGCAACACCTGGCAATGGTCAGGGGTTACTCCTGGCTCTGCACTAAGGAATCACTCCTGCTGGTTCTCAGGGGGCCATATGAGATGCTGGGGATAGAGCCCGGGTCAGCCACGAGCAAAATAAGCACCTTACTCGCTGTACTATTGCTCCGGCCCCTCAACTTCATTTTAATGGGTTAGTTATACTCAATATATCAGTTATATGCAGAAAACGACAAATCAATTTATGACAGTAAAAAACTTACGGCCAGAGAGAGAGTTCAACTGGCTGAGAACACAATCCATTCAGATCATCCTGTTTCATGAATAGATCATAATGCTGTTGTACACCTTTTGGTACTATCTCTTCATTAAGGAGAAATTACCTTTCTTTTTGAAGTGGAATCACTATACTGGGCTGAAGGGTTTATTCATTTCAAAATGGGATACTACAAAATGACTCAGCAAAGCAAAACCAAATTCTATTCCTAACTTTCTATCAATACCCATTTGTGAGTGTATGGGAAGGTGAACCCCTTAGCCCTGAACCATCTCCTACGCCCCAGATCAGTACCCATGTTACCACACCCTTGCCAGTCTTTAATTTTTGCTAATGTGATGGGTGCAAACATTCCTTTCTGCCGAATGTATCTGCATCATCCTGCAGTCACGATCACCATCAGCCTGTTGTTCGTCGATTGTCTCGAGTAGGCACCAGTAAGGTCTCCTTCGTCCTAGCCCTGAGATTTTAAAAAGTGCCATATTCAAGGCTCTTTCAGGGTTCGGAGAATGAGACCCATCATTGTTACTGGTATTTGGCATATTGGGTACGCCACGGGGAGTTTGCCAGACTCTGCCGTGTGGGCAGGTTACATTCGGTAGCCTGCCAGGTTGTCCAAGTAAGAATGAGATAATAAGATGTCTTCCAGGAGCTGGGTTTTATAGTCTCTGGGTCTTGGCCGTTGATGGGATTCTGCAGTAATTGAGGCTAGCAATTGCTTTTTATATACTGGTCACATCTCTTATGAAGTGTGTGTGTCTGTAATTTGTTCGTATTTCCAAAGGGCAAATAGACTGACCTATTTGTAAAGTTATCTGTGATGAAGGTTTTTTTCCCTTTGTATCTACCTGTTTATAAACTCTTTCTAAGAAAGACTGCACTCATCTGGGGAATATAAAGTAACAGAATGGGAGTCGAACACCCAAAAATAGCTGAGATAAGTACCAGGAGGTCTGCTCCATGGCTTGGAAGCCGGCAGCACATGCTGGGGGAAAAGGCACCTCAGATAAAGGGAACACCAAGTAAAGAATGTTTGGAGGACTCACTCGGGATACAAGATGCGTGCTGAAAGTAGACTATAGACGGAACACGATGGCTACTCAATACCTCTATTGCAAACTACAACACCCTAAAGGAAAGAGAGAGCAAAAGGGAATGCCCTGCCACAGAGGCAGGGTAGGGGTGAGGGGATGGGGGGAGGGCTACTGGGATCACTGGTGGTGGAGAATGGGCACTGATGGAGGGATGGGTACTCGATCATTGTATAATTGAAACCCAAGCACAAAAGTTTGTAAGTCTACAACTGTACCTCTTGGTGTTTTACTAATAATAAAAAAATCTTTCTAAGAGCTGGAGAGAGTACAGCAGGTAGGGTGCTTGCCTTGGATGCGGCTTACCTGGATTCGATCCCTGGCACACATGTGGTCTGAAGAACCCTGCCAGGAGTGGCCCTATGTGCAGAGCCAGGAGTAAACCCTGAATACCACTGGGTGTGGCTAATAAAAAGTTTGTGTTTTGTTGTTGTTGTTTTTAGTCACACCTGGCAAAGCTTAGGGCTTACTTCTGGTGAGTCTCAGGGGATATGGGTTACTTCTGGTGAACTCAGGTGGGTTACATGCAAGGCGAGCACACTACCCACTCTACTCTGCAGTTCCCCAAAAGTTTTTATTTAATACTGTTTCTTGCTAAACTTGTTAAATTTTGAATTAAATCTCTCAGTCTTCATGGCTGCTTTGTGTCTTCAAAAGGTATGGGGAAGTAGCTCAGTGTATGAGCACATGGTTCAAATGCAAGAGTTCCTGGGTTCAAATCCCTGCACATACAGAAAAAAAAAAAGAGAGAAGAGACAGGGGAGAGGGAGGGAGGTGAGGGACATGGAGGGAGAGAACAGTGTACAATCCCCTTCCCACCTCAACTGCTTTAATTTTTCTAGTCTGGGATAGTACATATATGTAGCCCTTTGACCCCTCTGAAATTTTCTTATAAGAAACATACTTTTTTTTTTCTTTTTCTTTTTGGGTCACACCTAGCGATGCACAGGGGTTACTCCTGGCTCTGCACTCAGAAATTAGTCCTGGCGGTGCTCAGGGGACTATATGAGATTCTGGGAATTGAACCTGGGTCAGACGTGTACAAGGCAAACGCCCTACCCACTGTGCTATCGCTCCAGCCCCAAAGAAACATACATCTTAATTCCCATCCATCTCTCTAGAACCTTTCATCTGATGGTGATCTTGCCTGACTCACTATTGTATTCCAAACCCTGGTACGCAGTAAGTAGAATAACTTACCCCTGTTGATTTGGATGACCAACTTCTCAAAGTACAAAAACCCATTTAAGGATTAATTTTTCTGGTAGGGACTAGAGCTCAGTGGCAGGGCATTTATCTTGCAGGTGTGAGGACCAGGGTCCCCATGGTCCCCACCCTTCACTTTTCACAGAAGGCAGCAGCAGGGAGTGGGGATTTTCATTTTCACAAAGAAAAATTGAGCACAAGGAAAGTCAGTAAATGTGTACTAGTTGTACATTTTTACACCTGCACTGCATCTTAAACTGTCAGCTTGAAATCCCTTTAAATGAAACAAGTCAGGTAACACTGTTGCTCCAGAAGGAGTTACTTTACAAGGTTTTGGAAGGAAAGAGCCAGACGCCTGGCTAGCGAGAGGCCCTGCTTTCCATCACCAGAACCGAGAAGGAAAAAAAACAACACAAAAGTCAACATTTTGGTCAAATACACTGTATCCTGGTTCCTCAAGAGTTTGGTGTAATACTCCCGTTTCCAGAAGTGTTCCTTACCATACACATCCTTACCGGTGATGACTTAGAGGCACCAAAAAATAAGCTACTTTATTTGCCCGACTCTATTAATAACTTCCGTTAAAAAAAAACAAACAGAACTATAACCCTTGTTAGCCGTGGTTTCCTCTCTATGATCGCGACCACAGCGCTGAAACTTTCAAGGAAACCTTCGCGTTAGTGCCCGACTTAGTGAAAGACGACGCCGGCACCGGGATGACTGACTCGTCCCGGCAAAGTGCGCGGTGGCCCCAGCCCGCCCTCTCAACAAAGCGAGTCACCGGGGGAGGGGTGAAGCCGCCACCCCCGCCCTCCCCAGCAGACAGCCCAATGGCCGAGGGACCAGACGCCCAGGCAGGGAAACATCACTGGCCCTGGGCTGCGCCAATGAGGTTGCAGCGCGCCGGGCACAACCCCCGGGGTTAGGCGAGCCTCCCGCGGGCCCGGCTGGCACCCAGCAGGAGGGCGCGGGCCCGCGCCGCTCGGGGGCCGCCCCCCGGCCGGCCCGTCCAGGGTCCTGGCCGAGCGCGCACCTTCCGCTCGCAGCCGGGGCGCGCCGCCGCGAGCCCCGAACTTGGCCGGCCGAGGACGACTCCGGGTCCGCCCGTCCGGGGGACGCGACGTGAGCAGCGCCGGGGCTGCGGGGGGCCTCGTCCGTGCGCGCGGGCGGCGGCGGCGGCGGGGCTGGGGGTGGGGGGGCAGGACCCGCGGTCAGCGGACCTCGGGGATGCTCGGGGGCCTCGGCGGGGCAGGAGGTGGCGGGCGCGACGGCTTCCGCGGGCGGTGCGGGGCGGGGAGGGAGGCGCGGAGTCGCCAGCGGCTCCCCCCGGAGCCGACCGCGACGGAGACGGGAGGGGCGGGCGCGATGGCGGTGCCCCCCGCACGCCCCGCGGCGGCACACTCACCCGCACCCAAGTCCTTCCGGAAGTCCCAGTTCGAAGATGGCGCCGCCCGTCTGGTCGCGGGCTGATGACGACAGCGGCCCGCCGCGAGCCCCAGCGCTCCGCCGCGCCCCCCGCCCGAGCCGCGCTGCTCTGGCTGCGCCCCGCGCCGCCCGCCGCGGTGGGGGGGGCGGGGGGAGGGGAACCGCCGCGGCCTCCCGCACGCTCTCGCCTCCACAATGCAGCGCGGCGCGGGGCACGCTGCGGGGCCTGCTGGGAGATGCAGTGTCCCGGGGCGCACGACGCCTGCGCGGTGGCCGCCGGCGCTCCCCGCGGCCCCCTCCCCCCCGCGCCGGCCCCTGGCACGGGGGCGACGGTGCCAGGCCCTAGGTGAGAGTCCACACCCGCGGTGCCAGCCGAGGACAGAGGCCGGAGGCGCCTACGGGCCTTGTCACCGGCCTCCCGATGATGACGGTGGCCGCCGCAGCGGGGCTGATTCCCCGCAGATCGGCCACTAGGGAAGTCAAGGAGGATGGACGGTGATGGAGACCGACCAAGGGGCCGAGTCAAGGACCAGGAATATGCAAAACCTGGTCTAGCTCTGCCCTTTCCCCCCACCCCCCAGGTGGGATGAGGTTGGAGAAGGAGTCTCAACTGATTTCGGCTCTCTCCGGGGCACTGAGAAATGCAGTTCGCTAGACTGTGCAGGAGAGTTTGGGGTGTTAGGGACAGGAGGGTAGGGTAAACCAGCCTTTCTCTTTCCAAATAACTTCTCCTGTTACATTCCCCTGGCTACACAAAACACTTTAAAAGAGAAAACATGGGGAAACAAACCAAAACAAGCATGGGGCTGGAGCAGTAGGACAGCCGGTAGGGCGTTTGTCTTGCACTGCAGCTGAGGAGGGTTCAATCACCTGCATCCCATATGGTTCCCCAAACACCTCCAGGAGTAACCCCTGAGCATCCCCCGGCACCCAGAACAAACAAAAAAAGACAAGTATCAGGAGATTCCTATCACATACCCCTTTGCAGCCTAAAAGACAGCCGCAGAGTGTGCTGTTCTTACGTGAGCAAGCACAAGATTTGGCTGTAATGAAGGCAGTGCTCAGGGAGCCGCTCCTGGCTGGGCTAGGGGCCACATCTGGTGGTGCAGGGGTAGAGTATTTATATGCCGGGGCTAGCACTTCTAGGCATGTGCCGAAGCCCTTTAAGTTATCAGAATGAGGTAGGTATTTTTGGAGTGGGCCAGTGCTTGGGGTCTGTCACATGCCCAGAGGAAGAGCTCTATGTGTAGATCTGGAACAATCTCCACTGTACATTGTTTCTTTTTTTTCCTTTTTGGCTTTTTAGGTCACACCCAGCAGTGCCCAGGGGATTCTCCTGGCTCTGCACTCAGAAATCACTCCTGGAGATGCTCTAGGGACCATATGGGATGCCGAGGATCAAACCTGTGTTGGCTGTGCGCAAGGCAAATGCCCTCCAGAGTTTAAAGGAAGCAGGTTGCAGAGATGGCACAGGGATTAAGTCGCTTGCCTCGCATACCCTGGTTCCTTCCATGGCACCCCATATGCTTCCGTGAGCACTGCCAAATGTGGTCCACCACATCCTCAGCCCCCTGCCACCCTCAGACCCACCAGGGTGCAGGTCTGTGTAGTTGCTGTGATTGACTGGGGGAGGGGAAGGTGAATTACTTTCTTTTTTTGGTATCAAGGATCAAACCAAGGGCTTCATGCATGCAAGATGTGTGCTCAAGCGCCGAGCCATATCCCTGGCACAAGGGGCAAGATGTGTGTGTACTCGTGTTTGTGTGACTACAGGAAATACCTTGGGTCTCCAATAAGAAATCAATTAACTGGAGCAATAGCACAGCGGGTAGGGCATTTGCCTTGCACGCGGCCGACTCAGGTTCGATTCCCAACATCCCATATGGTCCCTCGAGCACCACCAGGAGTGATTCCTGAGTGCATGAGCCAGGAGTAACTCTTGTGCATTGCTGGGTGTGACCCTCCCCCCCCCCCCCCAAAAAAAAAAACGCAAAAAAAAAGGCAAGAAATCAATTAACTGCTGGCATGTGTGACCTGGGAGGCTAGAAATGAAGTCTTCACTTTCTGCTTTTTATAGCCTAAAGATGTTGATCCATGTGAATGTCTTATTACAATAGTTATCAAAATAAGAGATTTAGGGGGCTGGGGAGATAGGTGGCTGAAGTGCATGTTTTGCATGAGGGAGCCTGGGGTTCAGTCCCCCCCACTGCATGGCCTCCCACCCCCAGTTACTTTCAGTTGTGTCCCTACCCCCCTCAGAAAAAGTTGAGATTTAGTAATAAGTTTAGCCTAATCCACAGGAAAGATGGCCTGATCTGAGGCAACAGGAATGAACTGACGTGTCCATTACGGAGCGCGAGAACTGTATATCAGATGGGTGTTTAAGATGTGATGTATTGGTCCAGCTGGGTACCAAGGCTGGAGTACATGTTAACCAGTCTTAGGCCTTGGAGCTGATCCCTGGCACTGTATGGTTTCCTGAACACCTCTGGGTATAACCCTGGTGGCCTCAGCACTAGCTGGAGAGATCCTAAAACAAAAGTATCAGGGGAATATTCTCTCAACAGTGCTTGGGGACCACGTAATGCTGGGGTGAGGGATCAAAGCCAGGGCTCCCTTCGGCAAAGTGTACCCTTGGAGCCATCTTCCCAGCTCCTACCACCACTTACTGCCCTACAGCACAGACCTGACCCCATTGGGCCGGTGCTTCGTTTTATTGAGTGGCATGCTCAGTGAGTAAAAAACCGGAAGCCAAGAACTTTCAAAGCAAAGTTTAAAAAAAAAAAAAAACCAACACTAACTATATACTACTGGACAAAACTAGTGATCAAGTCCTGAAACTGATAAACATCTATTGTGCCTTTCCAGTGTGTTATAATTCTGAATAGTACATGAGAGGAAATTCTTTATAGATTACTGACTGGTGGGAATGATAACATTGTGGGGGGAGGGGAGGATGGACAGCATTTTGCACCCCCTAATCAAATATTTCAGGCCATAAACACCTGCGGATGAAACCAGTAAATGAAAGATTACTGAGAAACTAAATGCCTAGGCCCACTCATCACTGAAAACAGACTATTATTTGGGATCTGCTGGGAAGTACCATGAAACAGCACCAATAAAGTTTAACTGTGGACAAAGAAAATGGAGAAATTATATAAACGATACCACAAGAAGGCAGTCAACCTGGGGAACACTTATGAGATTAACTGGTTTCTGAAATAAATCAATGTCATGGAAAAGGGTGTTTGGGAAACTGCTTTTAATTTCAAATTAAGACATAACCAAATTGATGTGAACTTGTTTGGGGACTGTGTGGTGAATGAATGAAACTCAGGACTTCAGCACTCAACATCTGTGCTTTAGCCCTTTGAGCTGTCTACCTGGCCCCGAAATTCCTTTCATGAGACAACCAAGAGAATTTAAGCATGGACTAGATAATACCAAAAATGAATTCATTTAGTATGATAGCATGGTGAAATTCCATACTTTTGAAGAGACACTTATGTTCATAGATGTTTATGAGTCAAAATAGCACGTTTGCAATTTGCTCTGAGGTAACTGGCAAAGGAAAAAATGTGGCTGATCTTGATAATTGCTGTATTTGATGAGAATTGTTTATTCCTGAGATTGTTCAGTTAAACGTGCACATACATGTAACACAATGAATCTCCCTTTTTTCAGACTTGCCACAGTGGTGAGGCTCTCACAGTCTGACCTCACGCCAGTGGGTCTCCCTCCAAGTGGGGCTGGGTTCTACCTTCATCACTCTACCAATGCTTTGGGAGTGACCACTCTTTGGGGGAGGGAGCAGTGGCAGGGAGGCCATACCCCACAATGCTTAGGGTAACTCCTGGCTCTGCGTTCAGAAATTACTCCTGGCAGTGCTGGGGACCATATATATGGCTTTCTGGGGATTGACTCAGGTTGGTTGCATGCAAAGCCAGTGTCCTACCGGCTGTCCTATGGCTCCGGCCCAGAAAACGACCACTCATTTTAAGCATATTCTTTATGTTCAAGCTGTTTCCCTGGCAGACCTGCTTTCCCACTCTTTTTTGTTCAGTTTTGGGTTTCTGGCCTCATCACCTGGTGGTGCTCAGGGATCACTTCTGGTGGGGCTTGGGGATCAAACCGGGTCAGCTATGGTGCAGGGTTAAGTACCTCACCCATTGTACGCTCTCTGGCCCCTGCCTTCTCATTCTTTTCCAAATGGGAAAACTTCTTATATCCTTCAAGGACGAGGTCAGGGGTTACACCTGGAGGTCTTCCCTAAACTAGGGAACTTCCTGGTGCCATCCTTGATCCAGGAAGTCTGCTTATACTATGAATAGAGTTTATGTGACACTAGATACTGTTTTCCTGTACCAGCAATGCTCCTTAAAATACTGATGCTGCAGTCTGTGTTAATTAAAACACAATCAAGTGTGAGCCACAGCGATTAAGCACCAGCAGCAACAGGGTTAATGGCAGCCAGCAGGAAAATGGGGCCGGAGCGATAGTACAGCAGACAGGGCACCTGCCTTGCAGCGGCTGACCGGGTTTGATTCCGGGCATCCCATATGGTCCCCTGAGCACCGCCAGGAGTAATTCCTGAGTGTAGAGCCAAGGGTAACCCCTGAGAGCCTTGCTTGGTGTGACTCAGAAAAGAAAAAAAAAATCAAGGGCAGAGTCTCTGGGCGCGGAAGGCCTGAGATCACTTGCTGGCTCAGTTCACTGTACTACGGACAGGACTCGTTTGTCCTTAGATTCTTCCTCGAATCTAACACAGTGTCAGGTGCACAGATGTTCAGTAGGTGGTGGACAGTGCGGCAAGTGTTGGGGCTCCACGCTGACCTTCACTTTTGGCTCCTAAGCACTGGCATAGCATCCGACACCTTGAGAGTCCTGATAAAGGCCTGCGGGGAGTCTCAAAGATACAAAGGCGGCAGGGAGTACGTCATTTATTGATCCTGAGGTTCCCCACTCACTGGTCACTACTCTTGACTCGTAGGACAACAGGTACAGAACTGCAAGGAATCATTCCCAGCTCCGTGATCACCAGATCCACGAGTTCCGGGGGGGGTCACGTCATAGACCAGATTCAGCAACCGGAGGGACGGGAGATTCTGCCAGTTGGCCAGGGTTACGCAGTCTCGCTCACACAGAAGGTCGTCAGGGTCATCTGCAGTAAGAGGGTCACCCACTTACCTCCCGTAGGAAAACAGAGGGGGCTCCCACTTCCCTTTTCCCTCCCAGATCTTCAGGGCCCGCCCTTCCTCTGCCCTCCTGTGCTCCTTACCCAGCTCATTCGAGACGAAGGCGTCCGTCTGTACCCGCTCACAGAACTTGTACGTTTCACAGCAGACCAGCACTGGCACGTTATGGGCTCGTGCCACCAGGGCCAGCTGGGCTGTCCCTACCCGGGACATCACAAACCCATTGGCCAGGAGTGCGTGAGCTCCCAATAGCACCTTGGAAACCTGGCGTGTGGGAGGACGGAAAGGGGGAAACATGGTTTGTGATGGGACAGAGCAGGTGGCCCACTCTTCCCTGGGACAAGAGCACTAAGGCGATGACCAAGTCTCAATGCTGCTCTACGTGGAAGGCCCCTGACCACGCACCCACACTTCCCACGGGAACACGAGACTCAGGGGTGCCTTTTGTTCTGTTCCCTCTCGGTGGCCGCCACTTTATAGCTGGACCGACAGAGCTCTAACGTGCTACTGGTGTTTTCCCTACTGAACACACAAACCACCGTACAATTCTATTCCCAAACAGCAGTCACCGTGGGGAGGTGAACTTCAGCACGACCGAGCCCTTTTTTCTCCACCTTTGCAGTCCCTTTCCTCTGCCCTCACCTCTGGGAGCACATAGGAGGCTGCAGGAATCAGCAGGTAGGAGGCAGGGACCCCAGCACGGACAAGGGAGCGGAGTGTGTGCCTTCCCTCCAGCCGCGGCCGGCTGTCCACCACTACCACCCGAAAGCGCCGGCCCTGAGCCCAAGCCTCCTGCAGGATTCGTGATACCAGAGACGAGCTGGAGTGGACGGAGAGGAGGATTCGGTTACGAGCGTCACTCGCTGGCGGCCAGCTCCACCCCAGAAGGCGAAAAGGACCCCTGACGCAACCCCCCGCCCCACCCGGCCGCTGGGCTGTTCCCACAGGGGCTGCGCTTCCTGGACGTGGTGCTCGCCAAGGTGCTCAACGCTCTGTGGTGTAGCCTGTGGTTGGCAAGAAAATGCTCCTGGCCCCTGGGTCACATGCGACACCTAGATGCGGGCGGCTGGTGCCCCCAGGTGTCAGACTTGAGACCTTAAAGCTTGCAAGGCAGCAGGCATTTTTTACCATTGAGCTGTTCGTCTCGGCCCAAACTGCTTAAAGCAGCTTAAAAATGCAGAAAGCGGGGCTGGAGTGATAGCACAGCGGGTAGGGCGTTTGCCTTGTACGCAGCCAACATGGCCTACCCACCAGCATCCCAGCATCCCATATGGTCCCCCGAGCACCGCCAGGAGTAATTCCTGAATGCATGAGACAAGAGTAACCCCTGAGCATTGCCGGGTGTGACCCAAAAGCAAAAAAAAAAAAAAAAAAAATTCAGAAAGCAGGGGCCAGGCAGGTTCCACGGGCGGGAGTGCAGCCTTTGCGGGAGCTCTGGCACTGCACAGCCCCCCTGAGCACTGCCAAGCGTGCCCCCCTTAACAACACCAGAAAAACAAATGGGGCTTGGAAGCTAGCTCAAAGGCCAGGTTCAATCTCCGGGACCACGTGGTCCTCAAAACAAAACAAAAAATGAACCTGGGAAGATGGTGCAAAGGCTTCAAAGGGTTTCTTGTGCACATGCTTTGCATGCAGGAGGCCTGGGCCCCAATCCCAGCACCGCACAGTCCTTTAGCACCTCCAGGAATGACTCCCGACCACTAAGCCAGGAGGAGCCCCTGAGCACAGCCCACTCCGGTCCAACAGCAAAAGAAACAAATGGCCCAGCAAAACCAAGAAAGTAAATGGCAGGGGCCAAGCTGTGCCTCACGTGTGCGAGGCCCCGCGTGTCCTGTTGGGCCCCAGCCCCAGAGCACCGTCAGGTGAGGTCCCCAGATCAAATAATAAGTCACTTTAGAGGCTGGAACGATAGCACAGTGGGTAGGGTGTTTGCCTTGCACACGGCCAACTCGGGTTCAATTCCCAGCATCCCATACAGTCCTTCAAGCACCGCCAGGAGTAATTCCTGAGTGCAGAACCAGGAGTAACCCAAGCATCGCTGGGTGTGACCCAAAAAGCAAAAATAAATGAAAATTTAAAAACATAAAGCATGGAGGGGCAGGAGAGACAGTACAGCGGGAAAGGTGTTGCCTTGCCCATGACTCACCCGAGTTCAAGCTCTAGACAGTCTCCTGAGCACTGCAAGGGGTGCTCCCTGAGCACAGAGCCAAGAAGCAGCCCTGAGTGCTGCCAGATGAGGCGCCCAAGCCCAGGAAATAAACAATTGAGGGCCAGAGTGATAGTGAACCAGGTAGAGCACTTACCTTGCACGTGGCTGACCAGGATTCAATCCCCAGCACCCCATATGACCCCCTGAGCACAGAACCCGAGCTCCGCCAGGTATGACCACAAGTCCAAAATAAAATTTTACAAGGCGTATATTTATACATGGGGAGAGGGGCCAGATGGTGTGATACCCCCTTCCCTATCCCCCCATTCTTCGGTTTAGGGCGCAGGCCATACCATCCATATACCAGGATCACGTCTCCATTACTGATCTTCTTATAAGCAAAGCGGGAAATGGCCTCGGCAGCAAGTACGATCTTCTCTCGCACATACCGGTCTATGGCGTTGTGAAGTTCTGACTTGGCCTGAACGAAGAAAGACGCTTAGAAAACAAAAAACACATTTCTCCCACCGATCTCAGATGCTGGATATATGCCAGGCTCAAAAGGGGGTTTGAGGACTGAAGCATGGCACAAGTCACAGAGCCCGACTACTCCCTTAGCCCCCGAATGGGTCAGACCGTGTGCACTGCCCTTCCTGGGAGTTCTGGGCATGCGTCTCCGCTCCACCCACCAGCGTGCTCATTACTCATACTCATCACCTCCTCTTCCCGCATGGAGCTGCTCACGGCTGTGATCTCCTTATTAAGGTATTTGATGGCGTTGTACATGCTGGCCGACAGGGGGCGACACTGAGCCAGAAAGCTGCAACAGGAAAAGCTGACGTTTGTGCCACTTTTCACAACTTGGCAAAACTCTCACGTTTTAAAAAAACATCTTTTACGGCTGGAGAGACAGTACAGTGGGTTAGCACGCAGCCAATCCAGGTTCAAGCCATGGCACCCTGACACCATGTGGTTCCCTGAGCCCATCAGGAATGATCCCTTGGTGCAGAGGCAGGATTATGCCCTTGGCACTGCCAGGTATGACACCAAAACCAAAAAGGCCCTGTGCACTCCCAGGTATGGACCCCCACCAAAATAAAAAAACAAATAAATATACATGGGGGGAGGGGATAAATTATCCCTCCTCCCACCCCCGACATTCTGCTTAGGGTTTGGGCCATACCATCCAAAACCGTCCTAAAGGCAAGCAGGAGGCCAAAGGTAGCTCATGGGTAGAGCGCCTGCCTCGCAAGTGTGAGTTGACTGAGGCTCCAACTCGGACCTCGGACACTGCCCCACGTGCCCAAGTGTGGTCCCTGAGGCTCTGCCATTTGGGATCCCCAGTGCCATGAAAAATTGTGTCATCTCCACTGTGCAACCCCAGTCACTGAAGAGAAAGAAAATGAATAAAAACTAAGCGGGGGTTAGAGAGATAGTACCGTAAGGCATTTGCCTTGCATGCACCAACCCAGGTTTCATCCCCAGGATCCCATATGGTCCCCCACGCCTGCCAGAAGTGATTCCTGAGCACAGAACCAGGATTATGCCATGAGCACTGCCAGATGTGGGACCAGAACGATAGCACGGTGAGGAGGCCACTTGCCTTGCATACGGCCAACATCAGTTGATTCCCTGAGCTCCATTAGGAATGGCCTACACACCTCTGGGTGTGGCCCCAACCTCCACCCGCACCCCCCCTTCAAAAGAGATGGAAAAAGCAGAACCTGCAAAGAAGAGGCAGAGGAGTGAGAGAGAAAGGACATGGCGCCAGCGGGCCTCTTCCTGCCGTCCTTACCTGAAATAGGGCTTGAGTTTGTTCACCAGGTCCCTTGAGAGCTCTTCATTAGGAGGCGTTGTGTAATCCTGAATCACCTGGGGGGCAGACACACACACACGGACATGGACACAGTGGTCAGCAGGACGCGCCCTATAAACACTCTGAAAGGGGCACTCGGGGAGGCTGGTTTGGGAGAGCGAGGGGAACCAGAAGGCGGGAGGAGAGGCCGGGGCTGCCCACCTGCTGCAAGGCACGAAGCAGGGCGACACAGCGGGCGTTGGAGCCGCTGACCAGGCCCTGGGAGTACTGCAGGCCGAGGCGCACCATGGCTGGGTGGATCACAGACGACGGGATGCTGAGGGGATGGCGGTGTCACAGCATGCAGGCCCGCCGGGCCTGGATGGGGAGGAGCTCCTTCCCAAGCACCCACACCCTGATTCCCCGGGCTCATGCTTCCTTGGATCCCATCCCCCATTCCGCGCCCCTTCCAGTGCCGCACCTCAGAGGACCGGTTCTGACGGTTTCCCAGGCTCCTACCTCATATACTGGGTCAGAGAGTTCTGCCGGCTGTACTGGGGCAGATGGGAGAAGAGACTGACTTTGGATCCATAATCCTTCCGGGCAGGCACCTTGATGAGACAGGGAAACCAGACCGACGGCCCAGAGTTGAGACGCTCGGGGACAAAGCTGGCCAGGAAGCAGACCCGAATCCCAGCCTCGCCCGGGGTCTCCCAAGCCCTCTCCCCAACCTGCTGCCGCTCGGGTCTCTTAATAAGCCTCTTCAGGAGTGTGAGGTCATCTGTCTTCGAGTGCTCCGGCGTCGGCTTCACGCCTGAAAAAACAACCTTGGTGGTTTCTAAGCCGCTGGCAGAGATGGAAAGACACTGACCTTTCAAACGCGGACAGCGGAAGCTGGGGATGGGGGAGGCAGAGGAGAAACTGAGGAAGGGAGAGGAAGGGAAGACTGAACTCAGGAGCCCAAAGCGAAGGCCGGGAAGGGAGAGGCATGTCCTTGAGGAATAGGAACGGACACAGTGCAATGACCTGGGCGCTTGAGAGGCCGGGAAGGTACCTGAGGGGGGTTGTCCCACGGTGCCCGGGGAGGCCTGGGGGGGTGGCCCTCCTGCTTCTGCTTTCCTTGCCTGCTTCAGGGCCCGCTCGGCCTCCTGCTTGGCCCGCCGTTCAGCACGAAGTTCAGCTTTACTCCGGCCGGCTGGAACTTTCTCTCCAGCAGGTCCAGGCTGGCTGCCCGGGGCGGGCGGCTCTGCGGCTGGGCCAGCTAAAGGGAGAGGAGGCGGCAAGCGCCCGCGGAGGCGTCACTGGCCCCACTGGTCCCACGGCCCCCGGCATCCTTCCCCAGCATCCTCTGCCAGCATCCAACTCGGGCATCCTCCCCCGGGCATCCTCCCCCGGGCATCCTCCCCCAGTCTCCCAGTCCCTGACCCGCGGATACCTCGGCACGGGGCTGCCGAAGCAGGGGGGCCGGCTTCGGCTTCGGCGCCCTTCTCCTCCTTCCGTTTCTTCTTCTGCTGCTTCTTTTCCTTCCGAAGCTGCAGCTTCTCTTCTTGGGTCAGCTCCCGACCGCCGGCCTGGGGCGCGCACGGAGAAGACGGCTCGGCCCGGGGCGACCCCATCCCGGGCTCCCCGGCTGCGGCGGCCGTGCGGGAACCCCGCACTCGCTCGCCCTCGCCGGCTGCGTCCCACAACCCCCAGGATCCGCGAGCCGGGGGCAGGCTCCGGGGACTGGCTCGGGGCCCCCCACTTACCCCGGGCCGCGGGGACAGCTCCGCCTTCATGCCTGACGCCGAGTCTGCGTGGGGAAAGGGCACGCGGTCTGCCCGGGGCTCGGCGTGGGCACGCGGGCGCGGCGGGATCAAAGGGGAGGCGGGGCGGGCACCCCCTCTCCCTCCCCGCGGGCAGCAGCCGGTGCCCGGCACGGGCCAGGCCCGAGCCCCCGGCGGCGCCGAACCGAACCCCAGGGCCCGGGGCGCGGGGGGGTGGCGGGGAGTAGGGGTCGCCGAGGCCCTGGAGCCGCCGTCCAGGAGCCTCGGGAGGCGCGTCCGCGTGGGTGCGCCCGGGCGCGACACTCACCCTCGCGAACAGCCACGGCCACGGCAGCCATCGGCCTCGTTCCTAGGCTCCGCCCGGGCGGTCACTGGCCCGGCAGCGCCACCTGGGCCGCCTCCCCGGGCGCCGACTACAACTCCCGGCGTGCCCCGCGGCCCCGCCCGCCCGCCGCTACGGGTCGCGACGAGGGCCGCCGCCGCGGACTACAGGTCCCGGCCTGCCCCGCGGCCCCACCCGCCTGCCCGCCGCTACGGGTCGCGACGAGGCCCCGCCCCCGCCGCCGCGGTGCCCGGGCGGACTACAGGTCCCGGCGTGCCCGGGGGCGCGGCGCCCCGGCCGCCGACGTCCCGCCGCCCGGCCCACCTCCGAGCTCGGGCAGGCCCCCCCCAAAATGGCGAGTGAGGCGGCGGGGACGCGCTGAGCGACGGAGGCGAGCGTGCCCAGCCGCTGCGGCCCGCACCGTGTGGAGCCCGGCCGGGCCCCGGCGCAGGGAACATGCACTTTTCCATTCCTGAAACCGAGTCCCGCAGCGGGGACAGCGGCGGCTCCGCCTACGTGGTGAGGAGCGGCCGGAGCCGGGCCGGGCAGGGGCGGGGATAACGGGCCGGAGCCGGCTCCGAGCGGCCCCCGAGGCCTGGCCGCCCCCCCGCCGGCCTGCCGACGGCCGGGCGCGGGGCGCGGGGCACGTGCCCGCCGCGCCCGGAGCTCGCCCCGCGCCCGGCGGGCCTTTGTCCGGCCGCGACCGGGCCGGTGGGCGTCACCGGCTTCCTGGGGAGGGAGGCGGCGGCGCGAGCGGCCCAGTGTCCCCGGGACTTGGGCTGCGGCCCCGGCCCGGCGAGCGGCGAGGGGGCCAGCACTGAGCGGCGCTCGGAGGAGCTGGACGCGGTGCCCCGGCGGCCGGTGCCAGGCAACTTCCGGCCCGGGCGCCCGAGGGGGACTCCCCGGCCGGCACCCGACAGACAGACAGACAGACAGAACAACGCTGGCCCGCTCTTGTGTCCTCAGGCCTACAACATTCACGTAAACGGAGTCCTGCATTGCCGGGTGCGCTACAGCCAGCTCCTGGGGCTGCACGAGCAGGTGGGACCAGCACCCCGCCGCCACCTGGCCCCGGCGCCTCCACCTCCCTGCGCCCCGGTTCACCCCATTTAATCACCGCCACAGGGGAGGATCTGGTGCTTTATTGAATCGTGACGTTTCCGGGGAACTCCCTAAGAAGTGAACTGTAATGTCTGCCACGCTGACGCTCGGCTCGGCGCCTCCTAGTACTCACATCCTCCTTCCTGCTTCTGTCCCGCCTTTGCCCGAGCATGGAAAACACGAGCTGCCCCCTCCCTGCCCTCCCCTCCCCCCTCGCGGCCTGAGCACATTCCTTCTGTCATCCGAGCTGACTTGAAATTCTTTGCCCTGCGTTTCCAAACCCTCCACTGATGTCTTTGTTTTCTTTGGCTCATCCCCGCCCAGAGCCTTCCCGGTTGTCCTTATGTATCTGTGATGCAATGTGTCTCGTTCTCCCCAGAGTGTGCAGTGTCTCTAACTCAGTAACTCAGAGCCCTGACTCTCGTGACTTGATTGTCCCTTGCTGAGCCAGTACCTTATTTCTTCGGGCCGCCCTCCCACCAATCCAGATTCCTCTAGTCCCCTTAAGCCGCTGGGTACTTTGTGAACGGGGTAACTATTGTTAGCAGCCATGCCCTGGAGAGTATGGCCTGCCTAGAGCATCCTGGGACTCCCAGGCCTTGGCCCCAGGCCCTTCGGTTCCCCACACTATGAAGGGACTGGACTGGTACTCAGTAGGACCAAAAAAAAAAAAAGAGGGCACATAAGGGTTCAGGGCAACCCCCCACTCAGAGAAGGGAAGGGAGCCTCGAGAACTGAGGGGATTGCCTCTGCTCATTTGCTGTGTTTGTGTGAAGGGTTGTATCTCTTTCTCTAAATAGCTTCGCAAGGAGTATGGGGCCAATGTGCTTCCTGCATTTCCCCCAAAGAAGCTTTTCTCTCTGACACCTGCTGAGGTAGAACAGAGGAGAGAGCAGTTAGAGAAGTACATGCAAGCTGGTGAGTGGTCGGAGAGAACTTTAGGCTCACGTCAGGGAGGCCTTTGGGGAGAGACATCAACGCGCTGATTCTGTGCAAGGTCCAGAGTTCGGTCCCAGACTGGGGCCGCCTCCCATTTCTTTTAACTAGCACCGGTACAGGGCATGCCAGGATGTGCTGGGGGCCAGGAAAGCCACTGGAGAGTAACTTGACGGCAACTGAGAAGGGGAGGAGGGCGGCTTTCGTATCTGCTGTGCTTTAGGTTAGCGTCGTTGCTATTCCCCCAGTTCTATAGGCTGCCCTCAACTAGCTGGCAGCCAGGGGTGGGGCAGGTGAATTTGTGCAGTGAGCGAGGTGAGGTCAGCTGGGGGAGCTGACAGGCCATCGGCAGCCGAGGAGATGGGCAGGGGGGAACCTACCAAGAGGAGAAATGAGGGGAGCCAAGAGGGAGCGTTGAGTGACCCGAACTTTGTTCTCTTGTCCCCCAGTTCGACAAGATCCATTGCTCGGGAGCAGTGAAACCTTCAATAGTTTCCTACGTCGCGCACAGCAGGTAAGGCCACAGGCCGGGCCCCGAAATCCAGAAAGGACAGACCCGCGGGGCCCCATCCTCCGAATGAGAAGTCAGACTGGCACCTTTTCCATGGACTGAGCTCCTGTACCCAGGCGTTCCGGAACCCCAGCCTTGAATTAAGTTGCCGAGAATTGGGCTGGGCTGGGGCAGTGCTCACAGTCCCAGGCCTGGCACTGTCCTGTCTGCTCGCCCCCAGGAGACACAGCAGGTCCCCACCGAGGAGGTCTCCTTGGAAGTGCTGCTCAGCAACGGGCAGAAAGTTCTGGTCAATGTGCTCACTTCGGATCAAACGGAAGACGTCCTGGAGGTGAGGCGTTCGCTGGGCACTCTCCCTCCTTCCCCAGTTCCCAGGGGCCCGGGTTTGGGAGTGATTGGCCCAGCCGGTGTGACAGGCGCCGCCTCTCCCTCTCCCTAGGCCGTGGCTGCAAAGCTGGATCTTCCGGATGACTTGATTGGCTATTTCAGCCTTTTTCTCGTTCGAGAGAAAGAGGACGGGGCCTTTTCTTGTGAGTTTCTCCGGCCTTCCTGCCCCCCCTCCTGTCCTTCCAGTGATGAGCGTGCAAGAAAGTGGCATTTCTTCCAGGCTTCTCTTGCTTTCTCTTCCCTTGAGCCTCATATATTTTATTTTTCTCTTTAATTTAACCCATAGTTGTACGCAAGTTGCAAGAGTTTGAGCTGCCTTATGTGTCTGTCACCAGTCTACGGAGTCAAGAGTATAAGATTGTGCTAAGAAAGAGGTCAGGGCTGGGCTCGGAGGGAGGAGGGTACTGAATTGGATTACTGGGTCACGTCATGGGACAGCGTAGTCTGGACAAGGGGGTAGCAGTGATTTTTTCTGCCAGGACTCCCAAGCTTCATCCCGCTCCCTAATGTACAGTTCCAGACCGCTCCCCGTTTGCCTGTTCTCCATGCAGCCTCTTGGCTCGTCCCGGCTTAGCCCGCCATTACTCCTTTCCACCCTCTGCCTCACAGTTACTGGGACTCTGCCTACGATGATGACGTCATGGAAAATCGGGTTGGCCTGAACCTGCTCTACGCTCAGGTGAGCTTGCAGCTAGCTGCCTCTGAAAATGCCGCCGCTGTCCCCCTTTGCCAAGAGAGCTCAGGAGGGAAGAAGTTCCTAGAATGCGGTCCGGGAACCTGGCGTCACCTCCAGGCTACCTCCTTGTGAGCGGGTGTGGTTAGATTCGGTGCAGTATGGAGCCCAGCCCGGTTGCTGACTGCCCGCCCTGGTCCCCACTGTAGACAGTATCAGACATCGAGCGCGGATGGATTCTGGTCACCAAGGAACAGCACCGGCAGCTCAAATCTCTGCAAGAGAAGGTCTCCAAGAAGGAGGTAAGGGCTGCCCCCCGCCTCCAGGCACGAGATGGGTGACTTCCTCTGGGCGCCCCACTTCCCCTCCCGACCCGCTGTGTGGTTTCAGTTCCTGCGGCTGGCACAGACGCTGCGCCACTACGGCTACTTGCGCTTCGATGCCTGCGTGGCAGACTTCCCGGAAAAGGACTGTCCCGTGGTGGTGAGCGCGGGCAACAGCGAGCTCAGCCTCCAGCTCCGCCTGCCTGGCCAGCAGCTTCGAGAAGGCTCCTTCCGGGTCACCCGCATGCGGTGCTGGCGGGTCACCTCTTCTGTGAGTTGGGGCTGGTCTTCTGGCCAGTGGCCGGGCCAGCCTGGAGCTTCAGGAAGAGGCCGCCGTGGGTCAGGGAGGGAGGCGGGTGGCTGAGGCCATGCCTGATTCCTTCCCCCGCTGTCCGTTCCCGCCCCCAGGTGCCACTGCCCAGTGGGGGCACGAGCAGCCCGGGCCGGGGCCGGGGCGAGGTGCGCCTGGAACTGGCTTTCGAATACCTCATGAGCAAGGACCGGCTCCAGTGGGTCACCATCACCAGCCCCCAGGTGTGAGCCCACCCTCCCACCTCCTCTGGAGCCCTGGGCACCGCCTCTTAGCTACCCGAGTCCAGGGCTTCCAAGACTCCACGTGAGTGGGAGCGCTGTGTCCGGGGTACGGGGCTGGGGGGACCGATCTGGTAGGGCTCAGCCGTGTCCGTGCCCGCAGGCCATCATGATGAGCATCTGCCTGCAGTCCATGGTAGACGAGCTGATGGTGAAGAAGTCCGGAGGCAGTATCCGGAAGGTGAGCCGGTGGGCAGTGCCTCCGGGCATCGAGGGGAGGCCCCTGGGATGCATAAGGGTCTGACGCGGCCCTGCTCTGTGCCCATGTCTGTCTCCAGATGCTGCGCCGGCGGCTGGGGGGCACCCTGAGGCGCTCTGACAGCCAGCAGGCAGTGAAGTCCCCGCCACTGCTTGTGAGTATCCCTGCTGCTCAGTCCCTGGGCCCCCACCGTGCCACAGGGCGCCTTCCCCCACTCGGTTCTCACCCACCTGCCTCCTCTTCCCCAGGAGTCTCCAGACGCCAGCCGGGAATCAGTGGTCAAACTCTCCGTGAGTGCCCCGGGAGGGCTGGCGTGGCCTGAGCTCGGAGGGTCTCTCGGGGAGGCGCGACCCCGCTGACCCCCCCACCCACTTTGTTCCAGAGCAAGCTGAGTGCCGTGAGCTTGCGGGGGATCAGCAGTCCCAGCACCGATGCCGGGGACGTTCACGGCAACTTCGCCTTCGAGGGCATTGGAGATGAGGATCTGTAATCTCCGGTGGCTGCGGTCCGCCCTCCACCCTGGAGCAGTGTTCAACCTGCCCTGTGCCTGTCTTTCCCGAGCGAGCTGGGGAGTCTTTTCCTTCCTGCTTTCCTGATTTTTTTTTCCCTTCCTGGACAGGAGCCTTCCTCACCCACCATTCTCACGTCACCGCCCCCCCCAATCTCAAGGCTGGCTACACAAAGGATTAACCCCCCCTTTTTTTCAGAGCTGGCCCTCAATGCCAAGTTAGCATTTAGTATTTTGCACAAAGTCCAAGGGACCATGGCTACCTGCCTGGGGAGGAACCACAGCCCCCTCCGGCTGCTTCCGGCTTCCGGGGGCCCTGGGCCCAGGGGATGGGGCCGAGGTCTGTGTCGGGTCTGGCCCAGCGCCCCGTCATTAAACAGCCTGATTGCTGCCTGCCTCTGCTTCCCTCTCACTGCCCGGCTCCCTGCCCCAGCACAGGCTGCAGTGCCCCGGGGCGGCTGAGCTGTGCTTGCCAGCCACTGCCAACCGCGCACACGGCTTTGTTAGTGTTTCCTTTATTATAAAGCACTGAAATAAGTTAAACAGGTGGGAGGCTGGGCAGTCCCCCCGCCAGTCCCTCCACCACCCCTGGGAGCAGTGGCGGTGACGCAGGGCCTTTCCGGCTGAGGCCAGGCCCCTGGTCCATCTGGGCCCCCGCCCGTGGGGTAGGGGCTGGGCCGTACAGCGCCCGGGTTAGTCTGGGTGCAGCCCCTGGCCAGCAAGGGAGGAGAAGGTGGCTTCGGGTCCGGCTGTATAAAACATACAGGGAGGGCAGGGCTAGTCCGCGGGCCCCAGGAGGACCTGGTTCAGGGCGAGTCCGTATGGAGCGCCCGGCTGCCAGAGCCCAGGGCTGTGGGGCCCCGAGAACTCAGGACGGAGGGGGGGCTGTGCGGCGGGGCCCAGCCCTCGGGGGCCGAGAGGCCGGGCCCCGCGGCCCCGCCGTGCCCGTGCACCTTCTGGTGGCGTTTGTAGTTGTCCCAGTGGCCCGTGGTGTAGGCGCAGGTGGCGCAGCGGAAGGGCTTCTCGCCGGTGTGCCGCAGCATGTGGCGTTTGAGGTTCATGCTCTGGTTGCAGCTGTAGTTGCAAAGGCTACACCGGAAAGGTTTGTCCCCCGAGTGGATGCGGCCGTGGCGCTTGAGGTTGGCCAGGTTGCCGCAGGCGTAGGGGCAGAGCGGGCACTTGTAGGGCTTCTCCCCCGTGTGCACACGCTGGTGCCGCTTCAGGTTGTCCAGGTGCGCGGAGGCGTAGGGACAGCGCGCGCAGCGGAAGGGCTTCTCGCCGCTGTGCGTCTTCATGTGGCGCGCCAGGTGGTTGGGGTAGTGCGTGGCGAAGGGGCAGAGGCTGCAGGCGAAGCCCTTGTCGCTGGGCGCCGGGGGCCCCCCGCTCGCCCCCCCTCCCGCCTCGCCCCGCGCGCAGCGCCCGCACAGGGCGGCGCCCAGCCGGCCGCCCTCGCCCTCCTCCAGCTCCTGTCCACAGTTCCGGCAGGTCCAGGGGAAGAGCAGCTCCGGCAGGGGTTCCGACCCCGTCCCGCACAGGCCCTCCCCTTCGCCCCGCAGCTGCCCGCAGTCCGGCAGGAAACTGGCACCCCCTGGTGGCACGTGGAGGCTCAGCTCCGGGAGCAGCAGAGCATCTGCGGAGAGGCGGTGGGGGGGGGCTGAGTCCCAGCGCCCCCCTCCCGGCCCCCCTCCCTCCCTCCCAGGGGGGCCGGGCTCCCCGGGCTGCTTTACCTTCCGGCCGCCGGGGCACTGCCCCCTCCTGCTCCGCGGGGCTGGGCGGCCGGGGCGGGCGCGGGGCGCAGCAGCGGAAGCCGCAGGTCGGGCAGGGGGCAGCGGGGGGCCCGGCGTGGGTGCGCTGGTGCCGCCTCAGGTTGCCCAGGCTGCTGCAGGCAAAGGGGCAGTGGGGACAGCGGTAGGGCTTCTCGCCAGTGTGGGTGCGGGTGTGGCGCGTCAGGTTGACGAGCTGCGCGGAGGCGTAGGGGCAGCGGCCGCAGCGGAACGGCTTCTCCCCGCTGTGGGTCTGCATGTGCCGCTTCAGGTGGCTCGAGTAGTGGGACACGAAGGCGCAGAGGCGGCATGAGTACAGGAGCCGTGGGGGCAGCGGGGGCCCCCCACCCGGCCCGCCTGCCCCGCAGCACGGCCCCTCACCTGTCGGCCCCCCGCACAGGTGGCAGGCTGGGCCTGGCCGCTCACCCCTGGCCTCCCCGGGCCCCCGGGCCGGCTCCTCCACTTCGCTCTCGGCACTCAGTGCCCGGCCGCCCCCGGACTCGTCGTCGCTCAGCCCGTAGGGAAGCCCGGGCCTGGCCCCCAGGGAGTCTCCTGGGGAGACAGACAGACAGAAGAGAGGTCAGCTGGGCGCGCGGCCTCGGTGTCCTGTCCCCGCCGGCTGGCCGGGCCGGGCCGGGCCCTCCCTGCTCCCGCCCCGCTCCGGGTCTCGCTCGCAGCCCAACGAGGAAGCCGCTGAATGAAAACAGACCAGGGCCGGCGCTGGCCGCACGGACACGCATCTGGACCCTAATCCAAGAGCCTCCGGGGAAGGCAAACAAACGCACGGAGCAGAGACCCAAGCCCTCCGCCGCGCCCGACCAAGCCCCGGTCCTTTTAATCGTGTCCAGGCAAAGAGACTCCGGGTCGACACAAAATCGGGAGCAGAGTGGAAACAAAGTCTGGGGGACGGCCCCGCTCGGGCGAGGCATGAGTTCCTGCTGTCAGGCGCCCTCCCCCACGGGGTGGGCAGCGCCGCACTCAGGCTGAGCAAGAGGGATGGGGACCGTGGGTGCTGCTGGCGGGGGAGCGCCCCCGAACCGAACGCGACACAAAAGGCAGTGCTGCGCGCAAGCTGAGCGAGACCGCGGCTTCCCCGAGCCTCTTAAAGGAAACTCGCCCAAGGACGGCTCGGGCGGCGGGGCAAGGTTATCGAAAGGGCACTTGCTCGGGACCCTCGGCTCCCGGGTCCGGCCGCGACCCGCGCACCCGCCTCGGGACCGCCCAGAACTTGAGAGTGATGGAGCGGGCGGGACAGCGCCGTCGGGCCGGGAACTCGAGCGCGGACCTGGAAGAAGTCGGTCCCGGCCGGGGCAGGAAACGGCTCTCAGCAAGGGGTCGGGGTCCCCGAACTCACCTTCCGAGTCTCTCTCGAAACCCATGAGCTGGTCGCTGCTGCCGTCCCCTTCCTCCTCCTCCTCTTCCTCTTCCTCCTCAAACTCCAGGTCCTGGCCTAGCAGCAGATCGCTCTCCAGGACCAGGGCCCCCGGTCCTTCGTCCAGGGAGTCCTCGGGGTCCGCTGGGGAGGGGCGGGGGTCAGCAGCCGCACTTCCCGGGCGCGCCGGCCGCCCGGCGCCTGGCCGGGGCGCGGGGCGTCCCGCTCGCCCACCCCATCCCTCCGGAGTCGCCCGGCGGCCCCCCCCGCGAGCCCACGCCGCTGACCCCCGCACGCCGCCCCCCTCGCGGCCCCTGACCCCTGACCTTTGACCCCCTCGCATTTCACGGGCTGCGGGTGGCTCTGCTTCCTTCGGGGCATCGTGCCCGGCTCCAGCCCGACGCGCCTCCGGCCCGCGGCCGCCCGGCCCCGCCCCTCCCCGCCGGCCCGGCCCGGCCGCCGCTCGACTCAGGGCCCGCGGGCCGCCCCCCGGCCGCGGCGCGGGCCCCCGGGCAGCCCCCGGCTCCGGCCCCGGCGCCCAGCTCAGGCCGCTCCCGCCGCCGCCGCCGCGTCCATTCATGGAGCCCCCTCCCCCCCTACGGAGACCAGCTGGTACCTCCGTCCGCGCTTCCGCTTCCGCCGCCGCACAGCCGCCCGGGACGCGTAGTCCGCGGGGCGGGGCGGGGCGGGACGGGGCGGGCGCTGACCGGGAAGTGATTGTGACGCCACGGGCCCGCCCCCGCGGCCCCGCGGCCCGGGCGGCCCCGCGCAACACACACTACGCACACGCCCGTGCACAACACACGTGCACACGCACGCTCGAACACATTATACACTACGCACATGCACGCACTCACTTCACATGCACACACTACACGCGCTAACACTACACACACGTAACACAGTACACACGCACATACTACCCACCCACAGGCGCGCACACACGCACACTACACTCTACACACACATCACACACACACGATTGACGCACTCACTCTACATACACGCACGCACACTCCACACGCACATACAACACACATGCCCGCATGCAAGTGCAAGCGCACACACACACACACACACCCTCCCCCCAAGTCTGGAGCCGAGAAAAAAAGCACACCACGATTGACGCACTCACTCCACATACACATACGCACAGTCCACATGCACATACAACACACATGCCCGCACGCAAGCGCAAGCAAACACACACACACACACACTCCCCCCCAGTCTGGAGCCGAGAACAAAAGCACACCAAGGGCACAATTAGGTTTTGGCCTTTAGTCTGAAAAAGTGTTGATTGAAAGTGTACAACACAGAGCAGGTGCAAGCGGCCGGGGGCCGAGGAGCCGCCAATAAAAAAGAATGTCCTTAAATAAAGTTCACAGAGTAAAAACCAGAACCTCGGTCCTTCCCTCCAACACAACAGCACAGGCACAGAACCGGTGATGAGCCCCGAGGAGCAGAGGAGACGGGGCGTCAGCAGCGGCTCCCGGGCTGCTGGGCAGGGGAGCGCCCCGCTCCCCCGCACACCGCATAACCACTGCTAAGGCTAAAGGAAAAGACAAAACTCAGTCTCAGGTCCGGAGGGCTCGGAACAGTCCAGGTGGGCAGGGTCTGGGCACACACTAGTCCCGCTTGGCCTTCTTGCTGTCGCTGCTGCCGTTCTCCTCCGCCCCCTCCCCGGACAGCGCCGCCTCCAGTTTCCGCTTGCCACTCTCTGGCTGCAGCTCTGCCGTGTTCCGGGGCTTGAAGCAAATGATAATGCAAGTCATGTTGTCGCAGCCTGTACCGTCCCCAGAAGTGTCCGGTGCCAGGCACTGATCCAGCAGCTACAAAGGAGACAGGGCGGGCAAGCGTCAGGGTCTGGACACCTTCCTGGGGCTTCAAGGGCCACAAGAGGGTCAGCTGGGTATCGGAACAGCCCGCCCGGAGCACGTGAGGCGTGCTCTCTGCTCAGGCTTTGGCCTCATGACACTCCCTCTCTTCAACAGCCCGGAACTCACCTCTTCCACGATGGACGACAATAACCGGAGCTCCCCATTTTCATCGCGCTGGCTGATCTTTGACTGAATAAAGTCTATAACTTCCTGGCTGCTCATCACATTCCTGGGGAAAGGAACAGTGAGAACCTTCCTTAGTTGCCCCGTAACGGAGGAGAGCAGCATGGCGCAGAGGCTCGGGCACGAGCCAACGCACACAGCCCATAACCCTCTTCTGCCCTCGCCCTGGGGGACTCCGCGCCGAGACGTCTTCCCAGGCACTAATCCTGAGCAGCGTGAGCGAAGCCACTATGGCGGCACTAGAGGGACCGAGCCAAAGCAGCGCCAAGCCCTACCAGAGGTGACGCCGCAGAGAAAAGGGAACTCGAGTGCCTTCGGCCGGTGCTCACCAGATGCCATCACAGGCGATGACCATGAATTCGTGATCATCCGTGAGAGTCAGCACTTTGATGTCTGGAAGGGCGGAAATCATCTGTTCCTCAGGGGGCAAGTTTTTGTTTCTCTTGTAGAAGTGGTCTCCTGAAATCAAGAAATGGTTGGGAATGAGCGACTCGAGTGCTGCCACAGACTGGTCTGAGGCTGGTCAAGCATTTCCTTTCGTGAGACAGTTCGCCGTCTCGTGGGAAGGAGTCCTGAGTTCTGGTTTTTCTGGGTCAACCCTCTCTTCCGTTTGCCGGATCTTAGTAAGGCCACTCACCTTTGGACCCACAATGACACGGGTCTTACCAATTTACGAAAGGAGCTAACAACAGAAGTAGACACCAAAGTACCTGGAAAGCAAGAGCCCGAAAACGTTCCTGCGCTGCCTCCTGGTCCTTACCAATGGCTCTGGAGAGGTTGAGGCCCCCGTTGACTCGCCCGTCCATGGTGACCTTGCCACCTGCGTTCTTTATGCGCGCCAGCTCCACTTCATCTTCCGGTTTGTGGTCGTAAGACATATCTAGAGCTTTGCCAGCCTCAGACACCACGCAGCGGGAGTCTCCTGCGTTGGCTACAATCAACTGCTTCCCTCGTATCAGAGCCACCACGGCTGTCGTACCGCTGTCAGAGCCAGGCTGGAGAGGGAGAGAGGGAGTCGGGAGCGCGGGACACAGGCTCCTGATAGCTGCTCCCCTGACCAGTCGCCTGTGGCCACTAAGAGAGCGAGCTTAAAACACAGTTGGTTATCCTCTGGAGACTAAGATAAGGTAATTCTGCCCGAAGGCCTCCCCTGACAGACACACGTGCCTGCTTCCCAGCAGTAACCAGGGAGGTCTCCCTAAAGCTGCACAATCAAACCCAGGACTTTCACATCTGCTCTCAGCTCCTGGGCATGACAGGCTCCTCTGCCCCACTCACCTCCTCTTTGCCTTCCATCCCGGGCACCATCATCTCCTCTTCTTCCTCCTCATACTCTTCAGCCTCCTCCGTATCATATTCCTCATTTTCTGCCTCTTCACTGCTGTAGCCATCCTCTTCCTCACTGCATTCCTGCCAGGGGAATGATCCCAGCTGCTGAGACGCCCCCAACTCGTATTCAGAACTGAGAGACCCCCACTGAGCACAGGCCCTCATAAGCCCCAAAAGGCCAGATGGATATTAAGTGTGCACCTTGCACGCAGCTGACCTTGTCTTGGCTGTGTTGTCCCGGAGCACCCCTGAGCAGAAAGCTGGGAGTACCCTGCCAAGTACCACTGAATGTGGCCTAAATCTCCCCACTGCCGGAGCGACAGTACAGCAGGTAGGCACTGGCCAACCTGGTTCCAATCCCCAGAACCACTTATGGTCCCCTGAGTCCTGCCAGGATTGATTCCTGAGTGCAGAGCCAGGAGTTAAGTCCTGAACACTGCCGGGTATGGCACCCAAACAAACTGGAAAACCTGAAACAAATCACTCACCCCTCAAAAACCCAGAAGTCCCTTAAAAAAAAAACACACAATTATAAGGGCTTGAGAGATGGCACACAGGGTTTGATTGATCACAGGGCCAGAGAGGGAGTGAATTCAACAGGCTGGAGAGCAAGCCCTGCTCAATTCCTGGCACTGCCGGATGCCTGGGCACAATGGACTGAGTCCATGCTTTACATGTGGGAGCCTCGTGCTCAATCCCCAGCAGTGCATGGTTCCCCAAGCACCTCTGGGGCAACCCTAGGCACTACCAGGGGAAAGGAAGGAAGGTGGGAGGGAGGGAGGGAGGGAGGGAGGGATACGATGCTGGTGGAGCACTAATGGATATAACGGATCCCTTGAACTAGAAGCCCTGAGGAAGGCAAGAGCTGTCAGCCAAGTTCTTCTTCCAGTGACCGGAACGACAGCACAGCAGGAGGGCGTGTGTCTCGCATGTGGCCCACTCGGGTTTGATTCCAAAGGAAAACCCACTGTCCTCTTCTCTCAGAAAGACAGGCCTCTGGAGGCAGGCACTTCTCTACTCACTACAGAATTAACAGCAAATAAAGCAAAAGGTGGGAGGACCAGGTACCTATGCTGCTGGAAAAAAGGAATTCAAGAAAAACCTCAAACGGGATGGTGTCAAAATGGGAGCCGGAAAGAGTCAAAAGCTGCAGCGGTCTCCTGGCGACTCTAGCCTGCGTCTGGTTCCACGGGCCCTTACCTCGCTGTCTTCCTCTTCCTCCTCGGCCTCATCTGACTCATCTTCACTGTCCTCAAAGAACTTGGACTTGGCCACACGAGGCAGCTTGTCAGAAGCTGACGAGCAGGAAGGCCCAGCCTCACCCGTGGGCGTACCAGGCTCAGCACCTTGACCTGCCTCAGTCCCGCGGTCCGAGCTGGAGGAAAGACCTGTGTGGGCCTTCGTGGTGGGGCCATTTTCCTCGGCAGACGCTTCCCTCGCGGGGTTCTCGGGCCCGGCCTCCCCGTTGAGGCCCTGGGAGCCCGGCTCCTCGCCTGTCCCAGTCCCGGCCTTGCCGTGGGGGGCCCCCTTGTGACAGTTCTGCCCGTAGCGCGTCAGCAGCTCCTCGATCGTCATGGTGGCCTCTTCGTGCAGCAGCGCGGCCTCCTCGTTGTCCACTGTAAGGGAGAGATGCCATCGGCACCCGCCCACCGGGTCTCAGGGCGCCCCAAGCCCCAAGTCTCAGAGCCCCCCTCACTCCTGCTCCTCTGGACACCAGCTTCCAGCCTCCCCGGGCCACTGTCCTTTGCCCTCCGGCCGCCTGAGCCAGGGGAACACAGATTACTCCGTTTCCCCTCTGATCCTTCTCTTCTCTCTTTTCGGTTTCTGGGTCACAGCTGGTCACACCAACTCTGCTTGGGGCTTGCTCCTGGCAGTGCTGGAGACTGAACCTGGGCATCCTGCAGTGAAGGATGTGCTGGGTCTTCTGTACTAACTCTGACCCCATCTTTAAGATAGAGGCCTCAGGGGCTGGAGAGATAGCACAGCGGTAGGGCATTTGCCTTGCACGCGGCCGACCCGGGTTCGATTCCCAGCATCCCATATGGTCCCCTGAGCACCGCCAGGAGTAACTCCTGAGTGCAGAGCCAGAAGTAATCCTTGTGCATCGCCAGGTGTGACCCAAAAAGCAAAAAAAAAAAAAAAGATAGAGGCCTCACCCAATAGTGTTTAGGGGTCCCTGGGCTACCCTGGTGGTGCCGAGTCACGCTGTGCTGGGGTTTCATGCATGCCAGGCATGCACTCCATCACTTTTTTTTTCTTTTTGGGTCACACCCAGCGATGCTCAGAGGTTATTCCTGGCTCTGCACTCAGAAAGTACTCCTGGCGATGCTTGGGGGACCATATGGGATGCCAGGGATCGAACCCAGGTCGGCCGTGTGCAAGGAAGTGCCCTACCTGCTGTGCTATTGTTCCGGCCCTCCATCCCTTTTTTTTAAGCCCCCCCAGGTGGAGCTAAGCAGCAGCTCCCAGCTCAGTGCTTAGGGGATCGTGTACTGCCAAGGACTAAACCCATGGGTCACTAATTCTACCACCTTTTTTAGTGCTAATCTGAAAACCCTACTATGGAGCGACAGCACAGCGGGTAGGGCATTTGCCTTGCACGCGCACGACCTGGGTTCGATTCCTCCGCCCCTCTTGGAGAGCCCGGCAAGCTCCTCATGGCGTACTCAGTATGCCAAAAATAGTACCAATAAGTCTCACAATGGAGACGCTACTGGTACCCACTCAAGCAAATCGATGAACAAAGGGAGGACAGTGCTACTGGAGGGTGGGGGGCTGGAGAGTAGTACAGAGGGTAAGGCACTTGCCTTGTGACACAGCTAACCTGGGTTCGAGCCCCTTCATCCCATAGAGTCCCCTGAGCACTGCCAGGCATAATCTCCAAGTGTAGCCCAGATATTTGAGGACACATACAGACACACACACCCACAACAAAAACCTACTGTGGCCCAGAAGCCCATGATGCCAACTTGGGCGCACAGAGCAAGCTTCATGACAGGCTCCTGTGCTAACAGCAGTTCTGATGGCGAGAAAGCCCCTACCACAGCACTTCTCAGGAAAGGGCAGGTCTCTCTCTCCTCCTCTCATCACATGCAGTCCAGTGAACAGAGGTCTCATGGGCTCTACTCGCACATGTCCAAGAGTGACTACACTTTCATATCTTAGGGACCCACACCCAGCAGTGCTCGGGAGGATCCTGGAGCTTCCGCAGAGAACACGCTCCCGGGCCCTCTTAGTGCTGCTTTATTGCAACCGAAGCTGCCCAACCTACCATCATCTTCATCAGCTACTTTTTCTTTTTCGTCCTCATCCTCAGTGGGCCGTCCTGCGATCTGTGCCAGTTCCTTAATGACTTCCTCTGTGGTCAATTTGGCATCGATAGCCAAGAAAGCATCTTCCAAAGCCTGAACATACACAAAATAGGATGAGACAAGTAGAGGGGACTACAAAATGAATTTTTACAGACAATTCTGGGCACCAATTGGGATGGAAATTAATGTGACCTGCCATACTCAGACATAAATAAAAAACTGTCCAGAGGCCTAGAAAATGATAAGGCCAAGTGGAACTAAGTGCATTTAGGCTTAGGAGAAGCTCATTGGCAAAAACACAGGAATAGCAAAGACATGGCCAACAGGGGCCAGTCTATAGATGGGGAGAATGGGCAGTAAGGGAAGACAGACCTTATGTAGCTTGCCTTCTTTGTAAGCCTTCTGCTCTTTGATAATGTCAGGAAGATATTTGGCACAGTACAAGGCAACTTCCTCCCCTAGAAGAAAGGTAAGGTTATTCAGAGCACAGCTTTGCACCCATGGAAAGTGATAGAGTACTTACATGCCATACCAGGTTGACCCAGTATAAGACCACCAAAAAAAAAAAGGCGGGGAGAGCAGATTTTGGACCCCAGCTGCAGTGCTCAGGGCTTACTCCTGGCTCTGTGCTCAGGAACAACTACCGGCGGGGTTCAAGGAACTATACAGGGTGCCAAGGATCGAACCGGGCCGGCTGCGGAAGCACCTTACCCGCTGTACCACCTCCAGCCCTTCTGCCCCAGACACATTTCACCATGCCTCCTCCTTTTGGGCTATAGCAACACCCCTTGTGCTTTCACACCTGTGTATTATTAAGTCCGGGGGGAAGGGGACGTGCCAATGTAGGAAGAGGTGCTCGGGTTAAATCCAAGCATGGTGAGGTTATGAACTAACACGTTATCCCACCGGAAAGAAGGAACAGCAGAATATAAAGAAAACAGCAGCAGGTAAGAAATGATATCTGAGGCCTAGAAACCATAAAATGGAAAAGGTCAAAGGATCTGCTCTTGTGCCACAGAGCCCAAAACTGGGGTCCCCAAATGTAACTAGCGTGCTCTGCTAAAGTTACCTCCGTGTCCATCGTAGACCGAAAACATGGCTGTCTCGCTGTCCAGCTCAGGAATACAGTTGTGAGCATCCTAAGGGAAAGGAGAGCATAACTGCGTTTTAATTGCGTTGTCTCACGGTCAGAGGCTATTCCTTCTGGTGCACCTCAAGTGATACAGATCACCTTCACACCTTATTCTCACTAGCCCTTCCCTGGCTGAACTACATACCTAGAAGTGAAAAGGGATGAAAAATAACGATAAAAACAGCAACAGAAAAAAAACACAACAAAGTCTAGGGCAGGGAGGAAAGGCAGGAGGGCGGGGGAAGGGATGGGCATAGGGTCAGAAGGGGGAGACGGGGAGGTCACTACCTCTGCGTGCTAGCAGTCTCAGACTAGGAGATCTCAGTCCAGATGGCAGAATGTTAGAACTCTAGACCTGACCCTTTTGGAAATGTGGCAACTAGGGGAAGAACCAGAATAAAAGATCTTTAAAGTCACTTCCAGAGCTATTCTACGAATCAGTGAACTGCAAGAAGGAAATGTTAGAGAAGATAGCAGAAAGGACCTTATGAACTGGAGAAATTTCTTAACAAAATCCTAAAACGGTCCAAGTGAAAACTCTAGAACTGTATAATGCTATACACACTGGCACTGCCACTACCCGTCCTCCCACCCACAGCACCATCTCATTCCTCTTGAAGTTGACCTCACTCAAGAAGTTACCCCTGTGAGTGAGTCAAATGTGTCTGGAGGGAGATGAATTGACAAGCGCTATCTTGCCAACAAACACCATTATTAAACTCTACCGTGTTCAGTACTTGGTAGACTATACGAGAGCTCATCCAGTGCGTCTCCCCACCTACCCCAGCGGGGACTGAGGCCACACATTCAACACCGAGGACACAGCACGCCTGAAGACAGACTACACTCCTACTACACTCACATTTTGGCGGAGCGGCTGGGCCGGATGATCAGATTCTTCTAATAACTAGATTCTGCTACTCCAAGCCAATGTACCAGGTGTTTCAGTGAACCAAAGTTCAACCGAGACTATCAGACCGAGGTAATAGTGTGCCGCGGCTTACTCTGCCCCAACGAAAACCACCCAACTTGTCTTTCACGGACTCTCTACAAAGAGAAAGGATATAATCAACTATTTACTTGGCGTATCCTTGTGGAAATCCTTTTTCAGTATTAAAATTTAAACTTTTTTTTGAGGGGAGGAGGTGGGCTCAGAGCTTACTCCTGGCTCTGCGGAAAGGGATCATTCCTGGTGGGGTCAGGGGGACCATATGGGGCACTAGAGATCGAACCTGGGTCAGCTACCTGCAAGGCAAGCGCCTTAACCATTGTACTAATCACTCCAGCCCCAATATTTTAATATTTCTAACTATAGTAACAGAAAATCTAAACGTAATACTTCTATGGTCACTGAAATAAGACTATTCCTTCAATATACAAGTTTAGAAAGTAAAAAATGGTTACTGTAAACTAAGGAAGGCAGGCATGGAAGTAGTTTTGCCTCACAATCACTGTTCCAGACGCTGTTCCAGGCCATGGACAGCCCTTGAGGCCCACCCAAGACCATCACTAACCATTCGTTAGCCTCAGCTGCAGGACCTAGGCACGTTACTGACCAAAGGGTCTCTTTCCCCTTTTCAACAACCCCTCCACCTGCCACCCCGTTCTCTCCTCCATGGAAGGCAAGGTCGACCTTACAGGATGGTCTCTCACCACCATTCAAGCACCTTCTGGTTGTCCGTTCTCACGGTTCTCAAAACCCATGACTTTCAGACTCGATTGTGCCCAAGAATTCATTTGCTCACCCATCTACTCATTCATTAAATAGCTGGGTTCACATTCTGTGCCAGGATCTATTCTGAGCACTTGGGGTGCATCAGTGAACAACATAAAAACCCACACTTCATTTTTAAAAAATTACAGTCCAGTGAAGGATATACACAATCACAGGTAAATCACAGAGAGAGATAGCATAACGTACTGAGAAAGATGGCTGCACTAAAAAGATCAGGAATGGAGTCAGGAGGGCTGGATTACAGAAAAGAAATACACGTGAATGGGGCAGATAGGCTGGCGTTGCCAGGACTAGCCTGAGTCGACAACTCCCCCCAACAAACAAAACCAAGACGCTGGGGCTGGGAATAAAACTCAGCAGTAGAGGGGCTGGAACAATAGCACAGCGGGTAGAGCGTCCGACCTGGGTCCGATTCCCAGCATCCCATGTGGCCACCCAGCACAGCCAGGAGTAATTCCTGAGTGCATGAGCCAGGAGGAACTAAACCCCTGTGCATCGCTGGGTGTGACCCAAAAGGAAGAAAGGAAAAAAAAAGCAGTAGAGCACCTGCCTTGCATTCACATGCCCCTGGGTCCAACTCCTGGCACCACAAAGACACATACAAAAAAACAAGGTTTCTGACTAAAGTTATAATCATTTATAACATATATAGAAAAATACCAAATCACTATCATTGAAACCAAAATCAAGTATTATGTTACTTATACCTTAACTTAAAATAAATTCCCAGAACAGCTACCAATAGTACACCCCACCAATGGAAAACATGGCCCTAAAATGAAACAGTGCAGGGACCCCGTAAAAACCTGAACCTTGGCAGTGCTCCCCAAATCATGCGTGCTGGTCTAACTAGTTTAAGGGGAAAAAAAGCCACGACATAATAATGCTGATTTTAATTCTGATTTTGTATTTTATCGGCAAGAAACCTGGTTAGCTCTATTTTATATACTTAAATAACATTAAACTCGTTTTAGTGAACACTGTAGTATCACAATTATTATTTTCTTTAAAATACAATTCTGGGGCTGGAGCAATAGCACAGTAGGTAGGGCGTTCGCCTTGCATGAGACCAACCCAGGTTCAATTCCCAGCATCCCATATGGTCCCCTGAGCACCGCCAGGGGTAATTCCTGAGTGCAGAGCCAGGAATAACCCGTGCATCGCTGGGTGTGACCCAACCCCCCCCCCCAAAAAAAAGAGGAGTAGGAGGCTGGGCCAGGGAGATGGCTCTGAGGGCTGCAGAAGTGCCTGACATACAGAGCGGAAACACAACCACTGGCTCCCCAAGCACATCACAGGGTCAGAGCACTAAACCATTTGATATGGCCAGGAATGGTCTCCAGGCCCCACAAGCACTACTTGGGAGGGCGCAAAACAAAAAAATTAAACAAGGATGTAAACTAGACTCATCAGGACATTGTGCAACATATGCTGAGTACCAAATCATCATGCCTGACACCTAACTCAATTTATTTTAAATGTCACTAGCACCTTAACCTCAATAACAATTCCCCAGTGAATTACAAATAGTGCACTCCACCAAAGGAAGTATAGAGCTGTTGGAGTAATGGGCATGTGCTCATTTGGGAAAGACTTTACATTTCACCATAAAAAAAAAAAGGAGGAGGAAAAATAGAGGGCAGGAAAAGGAGCCCTCCTTGCCTTTGTGAGGGCGTGAAAGGGGGAAAATAAAACATTTTTAAGAATTAGCAGGGCGGTACTTGGTACTTGTCTTGCATGTGGTCAACCCAAGGTGGATCCCTGGCATCACGGACAGTCCCCAAGCCCGCCATGAGTGACCCTGCGTGCAGTCAGGAATAGGCCCTGAGCACGACTAAGTGTGTCCCTAAAACCAAAACCAAAACCAAAGTGTGTACCTACCGTATGCCCGAACCCTAGGAGATCAGACAGTAAGATTTTGTGGAGGGTAAGATCTGCATGATTATTTTTCTACTTTTCAGCCAGCATCAGCAGCGGGATACTGGATCGCCACACAGCACAGCAGGCGTCCCGAGCCCCACCCTCCAGCACAGGCTCCCGACGCCCACCACACCCATTTTGTCTCCACTGCAAAGAGGAGGTCAAAGTCCCGCAGAAACCCAACCGAACACCAACTGAGCGCGAGCACCAACTGAGCGCGGACAAACACCCTGCTCGGTACTTAACTTCTGGCCTGCAAGCACCTCCTCCTCCCCAGTGGTGAAGCGCTGGCTCTCTCAGGGCGCCACTCTGCCTTCCCCACACTCCGTCCGCCCCGAGCCTCCCTCCGTCGCCCTTTAGAGCATCTCAGCCTGCGCCAAGTGTGTCATCACGGTCTTCAGCAATCCGAAAACTCACCCCGCCTTGTTTAACCTGACCAACAGCTTCTTTACCCCCGAATCAGAACCTGCAGCAGTAGTCAGAAGACGTCATGAAATTATGTTCATTGCCGTCACACTTCCATTCAGCACTTTTCCCCGTGTTCTTTATGAACTCAAAGACATTGACTACGGCCAGTCACAAACTTGCCCCACATGACTTTCCCCACGCTCCGACTGGATGACCTCACTCAGATCCAGTTCTTATTTCAGAACTACCTCATCTTCTCTGGTCTACCCCAGAATTTCCCACAGCTTTCTGGGCAAACTCTCCATTTCCGCTTCAACGGCAGCACTTCTCTTCTTTCCACTTTCCCCTCCATTCCTAATCTCAAACTCTTCTTCAAGGTCTTACTTCACAGAGCAGGCAAGAACCTTCACAGCAATCCAAAGAGCCACCTGGCTTTGGCTTTGCAATGCTGCATAGGAAGTACAAAACTACGTCCGCTTTCTTGACAATTATCTTGGATTCTGGGAAGGTGTGCGCTTTGATACTTCCCCACACCTCTTCCTATAGGCTATCTCTTCCCCACCTCAGAACGAACAACGTACACAGGAACCCAGCCATCCACCAAAGGCTCCATCCACATCTGTTTTTGCAACAAACAACTAATGCAGTCTTTCATCATGGCTATGTCCACTGAGTCTTCCTCCACACCTCTACCCCTGGATTCTATTTCACTCAGTCCTATTTTAATACAACTCCTGTCCATATTTGGTGCCTGCCCTCCCCCCCATTAATGCAGCCGCATCATCTTGCTGTCAGCTTAATCTTCCTAGAACCTTCCATGGATTCTACAGTATATAAAATGAATTTCGTTTAGCAAAATCGAAGGCAAATACCATTCCGAACCATCTTTATAACCCAATCTCAACTTTCACATCCCTCAAAAGAAATTACTCCACTACTGACAT